TATTTCAATGTAAGAAAATCAGGGACAATAACTATTTTGGGCAAACATTTACTGGATTGTCATGCCAGGAATTTTTTTTGTCAAAATGTCACGTCACATCCTCGTTACGCCACCCAGCGACGAGAATGGACTGGACACGTGACAATGTCTGCATGGACAACCATTCTCGCTGAGAATGACAGGATGTTGACACGTGACAAAAATACAGTCATTCTCTGCAAAAGCTGTTAAGGTGACTAATCTCACTGGACTGCTCAGCGAGAATGGTTGACTATGCAAACACTGTCACGTGTCCATTCCATTCTCGCTGGGTGGCATAAAGAGAATGTGACGTGGCATTTTTGCAAAATTTCATCATAACGTGGCATATCGGTATTTTTTAGTCACAAGCGTGTCATAATGGTCAATGTCCCTAAGAATCCTTGTATTTGAGTATTTCAGGAATGAAATCTGTTAGAAAATATTTCCTAATATAGATGATGTAATCAGATTATTCACCAGAATATAACGGTTTTATGTGATATGTATAGAGATGGCATTTCTCAGCAGACATTGATAATGAAAAGTAACTTTTGTGTTTCTTCTAAGAAATTGATTTTCAGTTTCACGTTTGTCTTTTTTACAGGGATGTGATGCATCAGTATTGTTGGACGACACGGCAAATTTCACAGGGGAGAAGAATTCTTTTCCCAACGCTAATTCCATTAGGGGTCTTGACGTGATAGACAACATAAAAACTCAATTGGAGAGCTCTTGCCCTGGTGTTGTATCTTGTGCTGACATCGTAGCTGTTGCTGCCAGAGAGGGTGTTGCTGCTGTAAGTACAATCTATGCAATTATTAAAAAACACACACATATATATAATACAATCTAATTAAATTGGTTTGGTCAAATTAAGATTCACATGTCCATATATATTATGATGAAAGTAATAATGTAACACAACTTTGTCTCAGCTTGGTGGACAAAGATGGGACTTACAATTAGGCAGAAGAGATTCAACAACAGCAAGTTTAGAAGAATCTAATTCAGACTTACCTGCTCCCTTTTTGGATCTTAGTGGCCTTATCACTGCTTTCGCCAAGAAAAATTTCACAACCAAAGAAATGGTCACTTTATCAGGTAAATGCACTTAATTAAAAAGCATGGCCTTTTTGTAAAATCAAATTACTGAATTAAGCTTAAATATAAAACTAGTTAAAAATGATATAATCTTGGTACAAACTACAAACACTAACCATGCACCTATTATTAATGAAAATTATATATATGGTTCACATCATTCAGGGGCTCACACAGTGGGGCTAGTGAGGTGCAGTCTATTCAGAGCTAGGATTTATAATGAGACCAACATAGATCCTTCATTTGCAGCAGCAATGCAAAAAGTTTGTCCCTTTGAAGGTGGTGATAACAATTTTTCTCCTTTCGATTCAACCACTCCATTCATATTTGACAATGCTTACTACCAGAACTTAGTGAGGAAAAGGGGTCTTATACACTCGGACCAACAACTGTTCGTGAATGGATCAGGACCAACAGATTCTCAAGTAGTTACATATAGCAGAGACATTGCAAGTTTCGGAAAAGACTTTGCAAACGCAATGATAAAGATGAGCATGCTTAGCCCATTAACTGGCTCCGACGGTCAGATCAGGCAAAACTGCAGGGTTGTCAATCCATGAATCACTGTCTCTAGTGATTAATGGCTACGGGTGTATTCATAAATAAAGCCTTTGTTTATTGAAATTTCGTTCATGTTTTCAGTTTTTGAATAAGAGGTAGGTTATATTTATAAACTTTTTTGTTTACAAACTCTTACAAACTACACTATGTAGCACCGGTTCTACATTAATCACACAGTGTACGACCGGTCCTACATTAGTGTAATTGCAAAAAAAGTTTGTAAACTGATCCTGTCCCTTTGAATAATTCATTGTCAAGAGACAAGTATGATCTAATGCCACTTGTTAACAACGTGTATGATTTGTATTGAACTAGTACTGTACTACAATTACTCATGTAATCAACGAGAGAGATCCAATAATGTTTTTCACTATTTTAACACCATCACATTTTAGTGAGAATCTTTGAAAATGGTAGCTTTGTAACTCTTATGTAAATATATCGCAAGAATGTTGTGTCTGGGATGCTTATTAAAACCGGATCAAATTGGCAGGTCTCACCTGTTCAACATTTATTAAGGTTTTTATTTAAATTAGTTTTTGAAATTTTGTGTAATATATTTAAAAAAATTGCATTTTTGGAATCAAACATATGATTGACCATTAATTTAGCTAGCGTCACATTTTTATTTATTTTTTATACAATTAAACACACAATCTAATAAATCCTACTCAAATTCTTCACCACTAGACTAAGTCTTAGCATCACATTTTTTTAGTCAAAGGAATTAATGATTTAGTATTTCGACAAAGTGAATGACACGATTTTAATAATGAATCGCAAAACAAGTTGAACCCGATGATCAACGCACCAACGTGTCAAAACAGGGGCGAGTTGGGCTATGTATTTCAATCCACTAACCCGAATAACCAGCTTATACACGGTGCAGGTTAAAATAAGTTATATGTGGGGTGAGTCAACTCACATATAAATTTTAAAAAAATATAAATAAAATGTTATATTATGCCTTAATTGGTCTATATGAATGGATATTATGTAAGATCAAATCTTTTCTTTTAAGGTCATAATGTATTATATTACTGCAAATGTTATTTTTTATTCATTTTTGATTTAGATTAATACAAAAAATATAAGAAAAATAAATTTGTTTGTGAATTTAAATGCTAGTATCTATACAAATCAAATTGATGCTTACAAAATTCTAGTTACGAGATTTAACGATGTGTTTATTTGCAAATATTTACATGTTTGATGTCATGATTTTGTTATATAATGACATTGAAATTATTAATTAATCTTAAGATATTATTTGTATAGTTATGTTAAATGAATTCATTGATTTAGATCATTCTTTTTTCTTTAACTTATTGCTAGATGCTTTTTTTTATACTTGAGAAATATTTAGATGTTAGAGATGAAAAATAAAATATTAATATTAATATATTTAATTTTTTTTAATATTATATATTTAGGTGGGTTGTTCCGTCAACCAGTTCAAAATGGAGTGTTGATATTTTCAACTCACACACGGACCAATCTATCTCACCTTGCCCCATTTTTGGCAGATTAAAGACAGGTCAGGATGGAACAGGTTGGCGAGCTCTTCGATAGACTTGGCTTAAAACCGAATGAATCCCAAAGCATGTTGCTTTAGGGGACGTTTGATAGAGGATATTTTTTTTACCAGGAAAAAAAGATTTCGGGAATATGATGGAATTTTTTTTTTTTCGGATAAGTTACGAAAATGTGTTTGATAGGACCAAAAATTTTCCGAGAATATTGGGTTAATTATACTGATGCTATGGGGAAACAAAAATAACATGTATCAGATGATATTTTCGTTTGAGATTCTGGAGTTAAAACTGAAATGATAGGGGAAAAAATTGCTGGGAATATTTTCAATTTCCTTATACCAAACGTTGAATTTTTTTTTGCCCTACCCCACTTTCTTAGGATTTCTAAATAAATCTCCATACCAAATAACACCTTAGGGGGTGTTTGGTACCATGTTTGGTACCATGTAATAGTAAAATTATCCCATTATAGTTTTTTTTCACCATTTCATTTTTAACTACACATGGTGACATGGGAAAAAAATAATCTCATCTCACCCATGATATTATTTTTTTCCCACCAATTGGGAAATGCATTTTCACATTTTGAGACAAAAATGCACTTATACAATATATTAGCATATATTTAAAATTGGGTAATTTTGTCATTTCGGTTCAGACTTCAATCAATATTTTACAATCAACCAAACATAGCATCAGTAAAATTAACTCAAGTTTCCCGGAAAAAATTTGGCCTATCAAACACTTTTTCGTAACTTATCCCGAAAAAAAATTCTCACTATATTCCCAATTTTTTTTTTTGTCATTAAAAAGAATATCTCTACTACCAAACGTCCTTTAGCCTTAAATTCAGGTATTCAGTCCACAATCTCCATGTACTGATTCCTCGTTCCTACGTTGTTTTGGATTTATCTATTCGTGCATAAACGTGTTTTTGCTTAGCTTGTAGCATAAAGTCACTGACTTTAAAAAATAAAATAAAATAAATATGTGGATAACCTTTAGCCTTTCATATGCCTTATGATGTGTGGATGACCATTTGATTTTCTATGACTTTTGATATACTATATAACCACTACATAATAATGTATTGAAATGTATTTACTCCCTTATTCATGTAGAAACTCTTATTCTATTTTATTTTTTTAAACACAACATGCTTGTTGGGCTGAGAATGGCTAATGCTGTAGCCCATTAACAAGTAAATCAGTCAAAATGGTTGGGCTGCCAATGCCTTAGCCCGCTGCAAGAAAAACACCAAAATTATCGAAACCTTTTTTATTAAGGAAACCTTTTTTTTTTTTTTTTTCTTCTAAAAGTTTTCTTAGAGCAGAAGCGTTTGAGATACAGAGAAGATCTCTAGTTTTATTTTTAGGCTGCCAAAAGAGAAGGGATCAGAACCCAATAAGGGTGAGGACCAAGCAATCGGATGGCGACCATAAACTATTATTTTTTTATCATTTGGCTCCGTCCACCCTTGCAGATTAAGTACAGTGTCCTGCAATCAAATATGCAATAATTTTGGCAAATTCAAAGTTGTTTAGTACAATACAACTAACATACTTAGCATCATACACGGTTTCTTGATCGCCACATCCTCCATTGCTTTATTCAAATATTCTCTTTCAGATGGTTTGACTTTGCAGTTGCACAAGACAAGAGACACAAGAAGATAGTGCAAATTGAACCTTCTATATAAGCGTAACATTTCATGGCCATAATCATCCATCAATCAAAAAAACCTTTCTACTTTCTATTACTTTTGTACAACAACTCTTGGCGATGGCTGCAAGTTCCCTCTACGTGTCCTTTCCCAGCTTCAAACTAAAGTTTATGTTGATTTTGATTACATGTCTTGTTGGGATAAGCTCTGCTCAGTTATCCAAGAACTTCTATCATAGAACATGTCCAAGAGCCCTTCCCACCATTAAGAAAGCAGTGGAGGATGCCGTGCGCCAAGAGCGTCGCATGGGTGCATCCTTGCTTCGACTCCATTTCCATGATTGCTTTGTTCAAGCAAGTCTCATTACTTTCACTCACCATCTTTTATTAATTTGCATATATATATATATATATATATATATATATATATATATATATATATATATAGGAGCAGGTTATATTTACAAACTTTTTTGTTTACAAACTCTTACAAACTACACTACATTCTTCCGAGAGAATACAAACTTTTACAAACTACACTGTTCTCCCGGGAGAACATAGTGTAATTTGTAAAAAAATTCAAAAAAATTTGTAAACGGATCCTGTCACATGTATATATGCTTATCATTCAACACAATGCAGTTGCCTACTACATTATGCCTTTACTGCATGCATGCATGCATGTGACATATTGATAATGAAAATGAAAAGCGACTACTTCAGGGTTTGTTTTAAGAAATTGATTTTCAATTACACGTGTTTGTGTTTTTTGCAGGGATGTGATGCATCAGTATTGTTAGACGACACGGCAAATTTCACAGGGGAGAAGAATTCTTTTCCCAACGCTAACTCCCTTAGGGGATTTGACCTGATAGACAACATAAAATCTCAATTGGAAAGCTCTTGCCCTGGTGTTGTCTCTTGTGCTGACATCGTAGCTGTTGCTGCCAGAGATTCTGTTGCTGCTGTAAGTACAATCTATACAAGTATTCAAAAACACACACACATATATATAATACAATCTAATTAAATTGGTTTGGTCAAATTAAGATTCACATTATGTCCATATATATTATGATGAAAGTAATAATGTAACACAACTTAATTACTTTGTCTCAGCTTGGTGGACCAAGATGGGAAGTAGCATTAGGCAGAAGAGATTCAACAACAGCAAGTTTAGAAGAATCTAATTCAGACTTACCTGCTCCCTTTTTGGATCTCAGTGGCCTCATCACTGCTTTCGCCAAGAAAGATTTCACAACCGAAGAAATGGTTACTTTATCAGGTAAATGCATGCACTTAATTAACAGCATTACCTTTTTGGAGACCAAGTGAAATCAAATTAGTGAGTTAATCTTAAAATAAAACTAGTTAAAATGATATAATCTTTGTACAAACTGCAAACACCAAGGGGCAGTTTAGCGGGAAAAAAAAGATTTATGGAAACATGGTAGGAAAAACTTTTTCTGGATAAGTTACGAAAAGGTGTTTGGCAGACCAATTTTTTTTTCAAGAAAATTGAGATGATTCTAAAATATTGATGAAAATCTGAACCGAAATGATAAAATTATTATTTTTACATTTACATCTAAGATATTTTTGTCTCGAAATATAAAAAAGTGAGAAGAAACTTTTTTTTTTTCCATGTATAGTTAAAAACGAGAACGATGGCAAAAAAATATCATGAGATTTTTTTACTTTTACTCATACAAAACATAATAAAAAAAAAAATTTACACCCCACTTTCCGAATATTTCAACCAAAAAAACTTATATCAAACACCTTCTAAAATCACGTTTTTGTTACTTTTTAATGAAAATTCACTTACAGGGGCTCACACAATAGGCCTAGTGAGGTGCAGTCTTTTCAGAGCTAGGATTTATAATGAGACCAACATAGATCCCTCATTTGCGACAGCAATGCAAAAAGTTTGTCCCTTCGAAGGTGGTGATAACAATTTCTCTCCTTTCGATTCAACCACTCCATTCATATTTGACAATGCTTACTACCAGAACTTGGTGAGGGAAAAGGGTCTTGTACACTCGGACCAACAACTCTTCGAGGATGGGTCAGGGCCCACAGACTCTCAAGTAGTTGAGTATAGCAAAGACATGGGACGTTTCAGAAAAGACTTTGCAGATGCAATGGTAAAGATGAGCATGCTAAGCCCACTAACTGGCTCCGACGGTCAGATCAGGCAAAACTGCAGGGTTGTCAATTCTCCAACTGAGGAAATAGACCATAAGACCCACAAATGATCCTCATGGCCCATAAGACCCACAAAGATAATTGTCTGCATGGGCCCCCATAAAATTGTATAAGTTAGGGCCGTGGGCCTTCTACAAATTTAATATTAAATTTTTATTTATGAAAAGAAAATGAATAAATATTGGTCCATATCTAATAGCCTTCTCAATTTGATCCATCTAAACATAACCATCAAGAATGGTCATTGGCACTTGGTAATTTGAAATGCAAATCTGGACATTTGGTTTCAGCTTTATCAACAGACTTTGTAATTTAAGATAGATGGCCTAAAATCTAAATATTGGTAATTTTGTAATTTGAAAGGCAAGATACATGGTCAGAAATTAAAACTGCTAAGAAACTCAAATTACAAACTGCAAAATTGATACTTGTAATTATGCATATATGAACATTAATATAATACGGGGTTGACACCGTATTAATAATTTATGTATTTTATTTTTTGAATAAAAATTACATAAATAACTTTAAATTAATAAATAAAAGTGGATTAAAGATAAATATGTAATTATTTCCTTTGCATGGGTAAACATAAATATGCAATACGAACATCATATGATTTTTTTTTTAGGTTATTTTTTGTCTACAACAATGCAAATACGAATTGACACAAACACATAAATTATGCTTTGTATCCTAAACGTGGAACATAAATAAAATATGAGATAAGATATTATGTCTATCTTTTTTATGTCTACTCTACCTACTCATCTCTAATATTATTGGATCACAATCTTAAGAGGAGAGATAAATGATAAAAGTTAGTTGAGATTCTGATCTAACAGTGTTGGAGATAAATATGTAAGGTAGGCATAAGAAAAATATGTAAAATATCATATCCCATAAAATATATCATCCCTTGAATAATGAATATTGATCTATTGAAAGACTCTTGACTAAAAAATATAAGCTCTTTGATACAATTATCCTTTGAGTCAAAAACTCCAAAATCATTATTCTCTTAATATTCATGTTATATACAAGGTGATTCCACCTTCAAGTATAGTCACTAATTGACCGAAATGAAATTCCATTATACTCTACCTTCTATTCATGTAACTTGTACGGGTTTTATAAGAGTTATCTGGTAGGAAAAGTGATTGTGTAATGTTATAGAGATTCGTTTTGCGTGTCATAATTTTTCTTTTTTCTTCAAAAAGTGTGGGCCCCACAAAATGTTGTGTGTGTAGGAAAATTTGTTGTGTCATGTTAAATGTAAACCTCAACTTGTATTGCTTTTGTGCATCAAGCTATTATTCTTGTCCAGTGTTATTTTTCTTAATTATTTAGAAACTTCTCTTCACGTAAATGCCTTTTATGTTAATAAACTATGATGATTAATTAACATTCCAAACTACAATGGTCCTATATCAGGGGTGGGGCCAGGGGGGGCTAGGGTGGCCCCTCCTTAAAATTTGAAAAAAGAGAGTAGGCAATTGGAAGAAGGGCATCGTCGGAGTTGATGGAAGAAGAGAATGAGAGATAAGCAAAGAAGAAGGTGAGGGAGCTTGCTAAGATGGCCAAAGTGGCTGCGCAAGAGGGTGGTTCATTGACTCCAACCACAGTGAGTCACCAATCCTCTAATGGCACGATTCTCTAGTATAAGAAGCTGTGGTGCCTAACCCCATATTAGATAATCTGTATTGTATTGCTTGCTTTCACTCTCTTCTCAAATTCTTCTAGAAAATCAGTCCATTTTCATTTTCTTCATTTTTCCTAACCACCAAGATGAAATAATGACCGGAATCTTCAAGTGCGTATTCAATTTCAACAAGCTAAGAATAAGGGAATTTGTTCATGCTCCCAAAACTCACATAAAAAATAAAGCTCTCTGGTTCAGAGTTGAGCCATTTAAGCCACCCTTCTTTCTCTTCTTCTGCTTCGGCATACCCTCTTGTAGGTTCACCCATAATGAAACTGGTTCTAGGTTCCCATGACTCTCTTATAATGCTCGTAGCTAGATTGCACTTTCGAAGTCTAAGAAGTTGTTGAGCAGTGATCCATAACTCCTCTTCTCTGATTCTTTTTAACTCGATGTATGGATTCAGAAATATAAGCCAATCTGGTAACTGCAAGCGTGTCATCTCCAGTTTGTCTGGTAATCGAGGTAAAGTAAACTTCTTAATGTTTGATTCAACGTTCAAAGGGGGTGCGTATTGTTCTACATAACGCGCAGCAGAGCGCGCATTATATCTTGCGCTGTGAAACTTGGAATACCTAGCTTAGAAGCAGCATTGATTTACTCTCCCTACCTTTTAAATTTAATGTTGTGTTTGGTACAGGAGAAATTTTTTGGTGACCGAAAATCATGATTAATGAGAATTCAGTAGAAATTGAGTTTACTTGGAATCTTACGAAAGATGTGTTTGGTTCGCCAAAATATTACCGGGAATATTGGGTAAAAATTATTGATTCCATATTTGGTTTAGAACCAAATATGACTTGGAATATGAGGTTATTTTACAAAAATAACCCCAAACTATTTTTACTTTTGTAATTGATAGATTGGGTCTAGATTTTTATGTGTATTGGGGTATTTTGGTCTCAAAATTTATTGTTGTGCTTTCCCTTTACTTGGTATTCTGATTGGTATTCCGAATTACCATATTATTTTTGGTAATCTGAATAGTGACTTTTCTTTATAAATCAAATTACCGGTAATCCTTGGATATCCGGGAATCGTAATTTATTCCTTCTACCAAACATGGTAATTACATTTACCAAAGAAGGATTACCGGTAATCCTCTCCAAAAACTTGAACCAAACACCCCCTAAGTGAATTTTTTAATTATGGTGTACAACCCACGTTGTGGTTGAAGAGAGAAAAAATATTTAATTTTTTTTACTTCACGAAAAAATCTTGGATACACCACTATCGTATATGAATCGTTCCGATGTTGTTATAAATTATCTATTTTAGTCACTGTTGTGAAACTCTTCCCGACTAGGCCGGGATGACTTGTAACCCGACGAATCGGTCATCAAATCGATTCGGGTCAAGCATTGGATCGATCATGCATCGGATCCGGTCAAACTCGTACAAAATTGGCTAAATCCGGTCAAAATCGGTGACCCGATCGAGTCAAGCATTGGATCGATCATGCATCGCAGCCGATCAAACCCGGACAAAATTGGCCAAACCCGATCAAAATCGGTGATCCGGTCGGGTCATGCATTTAAAAAAAAAATCCAAAATTATTTCATCTTGTGAGAAAAAAATGTAGAACTCATTTTATTTTATTTTGTAATTTTATTTGCTATTATACTTTTCTACAATAACCTCAATTTTCATCTTCTATTTACGAAATAATAAATTAAGAGAATGTGATATATGTCATTTCAATATAGATGAATTTGAAAATATGAGTTCGATGTCATTAAGAGGTATATTTATGGGATTCTGAGTTGCAATTTAAATTGACATAGTAATAGCGTGCATTTTCATTTATTTGTGCTTCATATTTTTGAGCTTATTTAGTGAACCTTGTTTAACTCATTTTAGATTTGTAGAATATAATTAAATTTATATGTTCATATTTATATATATTTATATATATCCAAATCTATTAATTTAACCAGTAATCCTCCGGTCCAATCAGTGACCTACTACCCCAATCGAATCGATGCCCACATTGAATTTGATAATACTTTTTTAGTAGAAACAAATTTCTGGTTAGCTCGCAACATAAAGTCATCGTTTTTTTTTTCAAACCTACCTTTTCTGTTAATAAAAAAGTAGTTTTCTTTTTCTCTTTACAAAGGAGGTTTGAAGACAAAATTAGATTATTAATTTAAATTATGAGAAATAATTCTTGTTTCCATTTTTAAAGCTCTAACATGGAATTAAATAAGGGTTAAGTATTTGTAATTATAAATGATATAATTTTATGTTATTTTTAAAGAAATTATATTGTTTTGATGTATTTGTTTACATTTTTACTTTTCTTATAAAATATGAAAAAAAAGAATGTGGAGGAAATAAAATATAAAAACATAACAGGACGATATAACTTCATTAAAAATAATGCAAAATTGTATTATTTAAAATAATAATATTTTTTAACAAAATAAAAATTATTGATTGTTACTCACGTGTTTGGTCTAATGATTGGCTTTATTGACTGTCGGCTGTGGATGAAGGAGTGGTTCACCTTCCATTTTCAATTCCTTCACCTATCCCACTCCACTAACTAACATATCTTATTTAACCTTTCAATTATCAATTTCTAAATTCACTTCCAACCCTACCCATCACCATCAATGGCACCACCGTCCGTCACCGCTGTGCAGGTCGACAATGTGGCTTTCCCTCCCACCGTCAAGGCTCCGTCCTCCGTCAACAGCTTCTTCCTTGGCGGCGCAGGGGTCAGGGGGATGCAAATCAAGGACAATTTCGTCAAGTTCACCGCCATTGGAATTTACCTTCAGGATAACTCCGTTCCCTCTCTCGCTGTTAAATGGAAGGGTAAGCCTCCTCAGGAATTAACGGAATCCGTCGAGTTCTTCAGGGATATCGTTACAGGTACTGTACTCTCTTGACTCTTCTTTTCGGTCATGCCTATTTTGGTAAATTTCATCATCACCGACGTATTTGAGAATTTTGCGTACACTAGTATGCGAGCGATTACAAAAGGTTTTTTTACCCAAGAACGCATTTTACTATAGATCTATTTATCTCACGTTTGTATGATATAATTATCTCATAAAATATGTACACGATAGTCTGTGAGGTTTATTATATAAAAAAAAATAAAAAAATTAATAAACCCACTATGTTATCTCTATTATTATCTCATGTAATATGATATAATTATTTTTGTTTTTACTATTTTAGGAAAATCAATGCTCACTTGAGTGTTATACTTTGAATGGGAAGTATATACTTCCCATGAATTTATTTTGTGTAGGTCCATTTGAGAAATTTATGCAGGTGACAATGATCTTGCCACTGACGGGACAGCAATACTCAGAGAAAGTATCCGAAAATTGTGTAGCCATTTGGAAATCTCTTGGGATTTATACTGATGAAGAAGTCAAAGCAATAGACAAGTTTGTTGCAATTTTCAAGGACGAAACATTCCCACCAGCCTCTTCTATCCTTTTCACAGTATCACCCAATGGATCATTAGCGGTTAGTAGTAATTAATGCCCACTCTCTTCACTCTGTTTTGTTTTTTGAATTCGTTACAATGTTCTTTTCAGAAGATTGGTACGTATTAATTAATGGAAATCATTTTGTTTTTAGAAGATTGGTACGTATTAAATGACACAATCTTGTCTCGTTGAAAATGAAATTAAGTTGTTTTGTTATGTTTTTGTATTCTCTCTCGTCCACTTTCACTCCACCTCAATTTTATAAAAAAAATGTAAAAAAATATCAAAAACATAAAAACAACTTAGTTTATTTAAAAATAATATAAGTTTGTATCATGTAAAATAACAAATACTTTTCTCTTAATTATTATGGAGAATGATTCATTTATAATTTTTTTTTCACAAACTTATAAATTACACTATGTATGACCGGTAATATTCTACTCAAGAGTGTATTACCGGTCAGACATAATGTAGTTTATAAGAGTTTGTAAACAAAAAATTTATAAATATAACATTATCCAATTATTATAAGAAAAAAGTTCATAAACTCACATGATTTACTCTTTTATCACTTAAATCCCTATTTTTTTTCTTATCAATTGCCCTATAATTTTATTTCATTCAACTCCACCTTTACTACTTTTGGTAATTGAACGAACTTGACTATTTTTTTATTTTATTTTTTTTGTATTTATTGAAGATATTCACTTGTCTATTTTCTTAATTGCAAGCATATCCTGTTTTCTTAATTGCAAGCAGATAAGTTTCTCTAAAGATGGATCCATTCCAGAAGTTGGGGGTACGGTTATTGAGAACAAACTACTTTCGGAGGCTGTGCTGGAATCGATGATAGGTAAATATGGTGTCTCCCCTGAAGCAAAACAGAGTTTGGCCTCAAGATTATCTGACTTATTCAAAGAGTACGGTGATACTCTTAACTGATTATATCACCAAATGAAGATCAAACTTCTGCCATCGAAGACCAAGCACAAATTTTATCCTAGTAGCAAAACTATCACTTGGCAACTTTTTTGTTGTATTAATAAATGATGAAGGTTCTGTCTGCACTCTTTCATCTAAGTATTAGACTACTGTGTGCAAATAAAAATATAATAGATCGAACAGGTGGCTCAGAATCCTGATCTTTTTCAATTAATGGAAACTTGTTTCCGTATTATCATCGAATCTTGTTTCTCTTTAATTTGACATTTTGCTATTACTTTTTTGAGTCCTTTTTTTCAGCAATTAACGCATATGAGATTCTTTTATAATAGACATAGAAAAAGTGGAATTTATTTATTACGAATAAAATAAATAAAAATAAAAATTTGACTTTATTAAGAAAGTCTGATTTCAAGTGGTTTTATTAAGGAGGTATGACCTTTTGCACATAGTGCTTTTTTCCAAATAATTCTTTTGATAATTTTATTTATCTCAATAAAAGTTTAAATAGACAATTACAAATTCTAAAAATAAGGAATAAATTCTTCCACTAACTAAAAACCTTACTACTAATTAGAAAATCTACTGATCCCATCCACTAACAACCAGTCATGACTTAGTCAGTCACAACTCCTTATTAAAGTAACAAAAATAATAAATTCCTAAAAAATAACTACTCATTACTTAAATAACCTAATAATTCAGAAAACAATAAAATAAACCTAACATTCCCCCCTCCTAAAAATTTGCTCTTGTCCTAGAGAGTAAGATCAATTTTAAGTAATTGAATCATCTTTGATATCTTTATCTACCTCTCCATCACTTTCGTCCAATTAATACGAACAAAATAAATAAAAATAAAAATTTGGCTTTATTGAGGAAGCCTGACCTCAAATGACTTTATTGAGGAACTCTGACCTGTTGCACGCAGTGCTTTCTTCCAAATAATTCTTCCGATAATTTTATTCATCTCAATAGAAGTTTAAATTGACAATTACAGACTCTACAAATAAGGAACAACTTCTACCATTATCAACCTTACTACTAATTAAAATACCAACTGATCCTATCCACTAACAACTAGCCATGACTTAGTCAGCCACAACTACTTATTAAAGTAACAAAAATAATAAATTCCTAAAAAATAACTATCCATTACTTAAATAACCCAACAATTCAGAAAACAATAAAATAATCGTAACATTCATTTTTATTTTATTTTTAAAAAAGCTAGGATCTAGCGACGTATCTTGACTTTCTATGATGCAAGTCTAACTATTTACTGCTGGAACTAGAGGAATCACACACGCACACAATTGCAAATCAGAAAAGAGAGAAAGGGGAGAAAAGTGAAAACACATATTTATCCTAGTTGACCCATTATGAGTTTCGTTTAGCCATATACATTATATTCTCTTTACCGCACTTGTTACAACACTCAGTTTATAATGAGAATATAAATAAGATTAGAAACCCTAAGTAACAATAGTTATTTATGGACTCAAGCCCAAACTACTAGAAAAAAATAAAATAAGTCAAAGACCCACAACAGAACCAGGCCTCCGCGGTCCCCCGTTGGTTTTCTCTGTCCCCATCAACAAGATTCGTATGCCAAGTATGAATCATATCCAACATTTACATCTAGATATTATAAACAAGGGAAATGTTGTATTTACAAACTTTTTGTTTACAAATTTTTACAAACTACACTAAGTATGACCGATCATACTTCAATCAAGAATGTATGACCGGTCATACTTAGTATAATTTGTAAAAAAAATTTTGCAAACAAATGTCCCAATTTTTTAAATAATTATGCTTATGATAGATAGATATTATGTCTAGTATAATAGGCCGAGTCTACAACTTAAAAGAATTATATATTTATATAGAATTTATAAATAAAAAAAAAGGAAAGGAGAGGGCATGTATGACACTCTTGGTTTCTGTGCGTTTTTGTCTCTTGATAACAATTGTTTCGAAATTATCTGGTTTATACTGCATTCGTCATATGATCATCTTAATTTTAATTTTTCTTTGATCCAAACCTTTTTCTTTTTTCATAGATAATGCACAAACAAAAAATAGATAGGAATAACTAGTTCATTTATTTTATATATTGGCGTACAAATCCATAAAATACAGGGATAATTCGATAGAAGAAAGTAACATTGGTAGTCTCTTCCAACATCACCTTAAAGATTTTCGACAACTACTTTAAATATCAGTTTCCATTATTGAAATTGGCATCTTTTAGAAACTCAGAAAACCTTGTAGCCAAACTCTCTTTTAAAGCAGGGGAAACAGGAATCTCTCCAATCATGGTATAATATCCCAACCTTATAATTGTTTGATTATTTTTCTTTAATTAGACACAAGTTCCAACGCATAAAGAATGAAAAGGCTTTATAGGAAAATGAAACTATGAAAAGACTTCATAGGAGAATGAAGAGTTGTATTGAAATCTTCCACCTTAAATGAAGAAGAATCTAGAGCATTGAAGATATATCTCGTAGCCATCTATAAATAGAGAAAGAGATGAGATCAACAAAGTGAAGTGAAGAAATTCTCCATGAGAGAAAGAACCCGATTGAAAACCTCTAGGGAGAAGTTTGAGTGAGACCTCTATAGGGAAGTTTGAATACCATCATTGTGATTTGTAGGTGATGCTTGATTATTTGAGAGTACCTCTAAAGAGATGTTTGAGTGTTAGACCTTTTTAGGGACGTTTGATGTTACCACCATACTTGGTGAAACTTGATTGTACCTCTAGAGAAAGACTAGGGAAGCTTGACTGTTGTAACCCATTATTCTTATTGTGGAAGTTTGATTTTGGACTAGTGCCCTTGGGTTTTTACTTCTTCACATTGGAGAAGGTTTTCTCACGTTAAACAAATTGACTATGTTCTTCTCCATATCTCTCCTCTTACATTTTACTGTTTTGCTTCCGCAATCGACTTAAAGGTCTGACTTGACCCAACAATAATCATAATTTTTAAGAGTTTTCATGAATTACTAAAGAATAGAAAATAACATATGAAGTATAGTACAAAGAGTTTTGGAGAAATACAGAAATTTTCTAAAACTTATGATAATTAATGAGAAATTAATTTGCAAGAAAATTATGAGAGAAAACACACATTATTATATGCTAAGTGTTGGCTAGAGTAAAAGAAAAAAAGAAGAAGATTAAAACTGCACAATAGCCTCTGCTCGCTGAAGCGAGCATTGTATGAGCTTGTTAAAGCGAGATGGCTAGCGAGCATTCGCAAAAACAGAATTAAAATGTTAAGTTTGGTCTCTCACTCTCACAAACCCACATTCTCCCACACAAGCCGAAAGAGACACCACAGAAGGAGGAGAGAGGAGCTTGAAACCCATTTCCACTAGAGTCCATGAAACTTGGGGGTGTGAACATGAAAACCATCTTTAATCCCTTCCTCATTATCCTCCCACTCTCCATTTTTAATTTTGAGCTTGAAGGGAGAAGATATGGCTTGAAGAAAAATCGAGGGTTTGACCATTTGAAGGTGTTTGTGACTATGGAAGCTTGAAAAACACTTTTTCCTCCATCCTAGACTTGATTGTGGTAAGATTTCCTAACTCAAAGCTTGTTTCCATGAAATTTCATGATGGTTAGGGATTGATGAATAGTCCCCACGAATTTGGTATGAAATGTGTAGTTAGATAATATTTTAAATGTGGATTCTCTTCTTAAATGTGTATGGATTGGTCTTTTTGTTGGAGGAAAATTAAAGACATGGTTGATTAGTGTATTTTGGAAAAATGACATAACTATGGAATTGTGAAATCTTGAGGACTATGTGATGAAAATGATTGAGTTGTTTATGGATTAGTAACGTTGAAAATAGCCTCTTGTGGATGGAAATCCAAAGAAATGATGGATTAGAACATGTTGACAAAATGTCAATTTTTGGTTTAGTGAGACCTAGAGGCTTATGTTATGAAATGAATATGTTGTTGATAGATTAAATTGTTGGGCTTGGTAGAATTGAGCAAGAGAATAGATGGGTTGAATAAACCTAGTTGGAACCACCATTAGTGGTTGTAAATTAAGAGTTTAAGGAATTTCCCCAACAAGATAAATTATGATTTACAAGAATTCAATATGTTCTACCCAATACTCTAGCATGTATGTATTGTAAAATGATAAATGATATGTATTTGATCACACTTTCACTTTGTGCAATAGGTTGCTCTTGTGAAGTGAATAGTGGGTGCTAATCTTGAAAAGAGAAGAACTTGGATCAAGTGCGCCATAGAGGTAAATTTCGGATCCTTGGGGTTAAACCCCTTATGTGTTCCACCACGCTTCTTTGGAACAATGGTTGCTTGATATATATGCATGGTAGTAGTATGACATGATAGAAGCATGTAGAGTTGCATTATGCAGTGACGAGAAAGATGTTATGAATTATGAGAATATGCTATGTGTGATTAATATAGTGAATGTCGAGGATATAATATATGTGATTGTTACCATCCATGGGCATAGTAGTGAGACCTCTATAAGTTGGTGTGTGTGGCATTTCCATGTATATGTTATTAAGACCTTCATGAGGGTAGCCGCCTATGAGACAGAGGAACTCCTGAAAGGACCACACCAGAGAGGGACTCTCCATGGGTATGGCATTATGGCCTCCACGAGGGTAGTCTCCTAGGAGACGTTTCATGAGTCTTTTGTGAGTTCCTTGAATATGTGATAGAACTAAGAAAAATGCTATGTTTATGTTTTACTTGTACAGTAAGTGAACAATAGGATGGAGTGACCCTCCAAGGGCTTTGGTTTACTTCATTTCAGATACCACCATTGATGGTGAAAGCTCATTGGACAAGAGGCCTCAGAGTGCTTGACATGTGGATATTTATCACATTTTGGTGTATATGTACATGGCATAGAGATTTAGTCATTTTGATATATTCCACATAACATTTTGTATATGTTGAGAACTCATAAGGTTTGATGGGGAAGAATGCAGAAGGATAAGTGTATAAATAGAAGGCATTTCAAACTGTCCACACTTATTTTTTATGATTGAGTTGCTGGTTCTTCGAGTCTAATTTGAAATTTTGAAAATCTCAATCTCTTTATTGTGTACTTTGTTCCCCCCTTTTCATTTTATTTTGCTTGTGGATGGTTTGAGTTGTGCTATTTTTCTTTTAGATAATATTCCTGCATTAATTGTAGTGGGGTTGTTTGGTCACTCCTGCACTTATGATTTTACATTTTTATATACGATACGCATTTTCCACCACTTGCCTTTATGTTGTCATTTTGTGTTTATAAATTCTGATTGTAAATCATTGATCTTGTTTGCATGCTGATTACTAAAGTCTCTCATCATCTCGTAACTTGTGTTCTGAGAATTGGATTATCATTCAACAGTTATAAGGTTCTATTCATTTATGTGCTGTATTTTAATGTAACTCGTGAATAATGTATGTCATTGGAGTATGTGTGATTTTGCACCTCTGAAGCACACGCACTTTTAGAGATAAAAAATGTGTGAGGCACCGTCACGTTTTGACACGCGATCAACATTGTTGATATATTTTTGACACGTAGTTAATATTTTTTGACACATTTTTGTGTATATCCAAATTTTATTTTATTTTATTTTTAATTAAAAAATAAAAAATAATTTATAAAATTTGACCTGAAAAATTAACAAAATATGAAAAAAAAAATATTTATGTTATAAAATTTAATTAATTATATAACTTATAACTGCTATATGTATATATCTAACGTAAACTATATATATATTAAAATTATTATTTAATATCAAAATATATTCTAATGTATCAATATCTAATATTTTTAAATTAATATGTCGGGTGTCGTATGTCATATCTCATATCCATGTTGGTGAATAGTGTTCGCACTACAAATTGCGTGTAATGGCTTTTGCTCATTATTGAAGGATCCAGGTACAGCTCCTTTCAGTAGCTTTTAATAGTTGTCTAACATATTAATTGGCCTGTCCATTTTAAATATCTACGGCTGTGGAAGAGAAAAATGTATGCCCCAAACATAAAGAATGAGATCCGCTAATTTAAAAAATATTACCGATAATACATAACGTGTGTTAGAAAAAAGAAAATAATTATAATTGCATAAATATTATATATATATATATATATATATATATATATATATATATATATATATATATATATATATATATATGAGATATGATCTTTTGATACTGGAGTTAAATTTTAAAATTTGACACCAAATTTTAACCTTTGAATCCTATCAATCAACGGTTATCATTTATTGAGAATTAATATTAATTAATAATTTTGATTATCAATAAATGATAATCGTTGATTGATGGAAATTAACAGATAAGATTTGGTGTCAAATTTTAAAATTGACACTGATATCAAAGAATCCTACCTATATATGTATGTATAGGGAAAGTGATTTCTACTTTTACTTTAGATAACTTTCTCTGCCGTGCACAATTTTAATTAAGTATTATTAGTAATACTTAGTTATAATGGTAAAATATCTTTTTCTTTCTTTACTATGTCAGCCGATGGTATTTGAGGAGAGAAAAAAAATAGCTTTATTATTATAACTAAATTTAACTAGTAAAAGTTAGTTAAAATCGTGTACCGGAGATAAATTATTTAAAGTTACTATAGAAAAAGTTAACAATATGTGTGTGTTAATCACGAATAGTTTGGTTGTCTTGAAATATGTCTATATTGTATTTGGTGTGCATGCTGTTTCACTGTACTGAAACTTTATGATGTATTTGCTACTGAGAGTGTGTAAATCCCATTTGATGTGCTTTAGCAGTAGCTTCTATTTGAGCTCTCTTCTTTGGACTTAAGTTGTTTGTTTATATTGTTCTGTTTTAAGGTATTCTCATATACTTGTTCTTGATCCCAATGTGCTCAAGCTCAACTATGGGAGTGAAATCATGGTACAAATTGAAGTACTTCAGGTTGCTCCACTACCTCTTGATTCACATGCCTACAAGCTATTTGAGGAAATGTGTGAGTGATGTGCTTATTGTTTGTTCCAATGATAGTACTGTGCTGTTATGACCCCTTTTAGACGTTCTGTTATAATATGATCTCCGTCATGGTCTCTGCAACTTAGTGTAAATAAATTCCAGTTAAAGATTTTTTTTAGTGAAGTTAGTGAGCGGAGAATTGAATATTCAATCCAAAAGCTAATTGGACATCTTGATCCATGCTATCGTCCAAGATGCAGATTGGGTTTAAGTTTCTTGTTGAAAGTTACATTTCTTCTGGTGAGTTGAATGGGCCAAAGCTTACCGCATCATATACCACACTCTTTGACTATTTGATAAACATTTGCTTAATATAAAAAAAAGGGAAAAGTATGTGTATTTTTATAGGATATAAACTTATATCGTTCTAAAAGAGAGATAGACACAAAAAGGTATATTATCAAAACAAAATATTTTACTTAATATTTATTGTATGTTATCGTTTATGATGTTTGCTGTATTTTTCAACATTTTCGTCAATAATAAAATAATTATGTTTTATGCACATCTGAAATAATTTATGTAAATATCATTACTCAAATATTATATATTTTTATGATTTTTTTTTTAAGATTTATCTATCCGTTCATGAATAACACGACTAATCAGGTTGAGCAGGATAGGACTCCAAAGGTTATAAAAAATTTCTTATCAAGTTTTTTAACACAGTTATGTATATAGGAGTTGAACTTAGGACCGTTGATTAAATTAAAATAATATCGTATTAGTTGATATATATTTGATGATTTTTTAACATTATTCTAAGATTCACAAAAAAGTTCGTTTTTTGTCATGTCACATGACAAGAGCATTTTAACTGCACATATAAATCAAGTGTGAGTTCCACACTTAAAAAAAAAAAAAAAATCAATATACATAATCGGATTTTTATTACAAGAATGAACTGGATGATTTTTATATTTCCCTTCACAAAAGCACACTTCGAGAGAAACAAGATGAAACCAAGGTTTAACCATATGCTCTTGCATTTATCAGCAAAAATCATTACCACCGAAGCAATTGATACCTTTTTTATATTATTTTATATTATTTTCCTTTTGATTCTTGAGCAAATTAAATAAGTAATTAAATAAATAACAAAATACCTTCCTTAAAAAAAGTCTATTGATGTGATTGGTTTAATATTTCTCATGTAATATAAAATAAAATCATTTTATAAACCTAAAATAATATCATTTTAGAGTTAAGAAATAAGAGTTTATTGTTTCTTCATCAATATGAATTTTAGCAAAAATACTCTTTATTAGTTTTTCTGAAGCTTCAAAATGACGTAGTTTTAATATTGATAGAAATAATAAACCCTAAAAATAATACAAAGTATTTTGAAAAAATATTATTATAAAAGAGATACGATATTATCAAAATGTCATATATATATATATATATATATATATATGGGAAAATTATTTGTCCTTTTAAATGACACAATTTATATCCTTTTACTCTCACAAAGAGGTGAAACTCACATCTTTATATTTTTTTGTCCACTCTCTCCTCTTTTGTTTATCTCTTTCTCTCACTTAAAATGACACAAATTTACATTCTTTGAAATGATACACACTCTTTCTGTCATAAGAGATAAAATTATTCCCTGCAACCTCAAAACTATAGTTATTTTGAGGGTTGGAAAAATTAATGAAGAATATTTTGATAATTTTTTTTATTATATGAATTTTATCAAACACCCTTCATATATATTAATTCTAAAGAGATGTTGTTCTTTTAAGTTATAAAAGATAAATTTATATAGAAACACTTTTGCTATATAGGATCGATATTAAAAAAGAGAGACAAACACGGTTACAATACAAGCACCAGTTCATAAATACACAGAAAAAAGAGAGAGTTGAAAATGTACTGCTTCACTCATTTTATTTATTGGCATAACAAAACCATAAAATGCATAGATAATTCGAAAAATAAAGTTACATTATTTATGACATATAGATGTCGATCTCTTCCATTTTATTTTATTTTTTACATATTTTTTTCTTGCTTCCAACATCACCTTAAGACTATCGACATCTGCGTCAAATCTTAGTTTCCAATGTTGAAATTGGGATCATTCAGAAACTCAGAAAGTCTTGTAGCCAAACTCTCTTTTAAAGCAGGGGTAACAGGAATCTCTCCAATCATGGTCTCTAGCACTGCCTCTGAAAGTGGCTTGTTGTCTATAACTGTATGCTCATGTTCTGGTAGTGTCTGATCTTTGGAGAAACTAAGCTGTGATTTGTAGAAAAAGAATCAAACTTGTTGTAAAGTGTTGACACAAAAAAAACAAACCTAAAAGCACCTTCCTTTAAGATTTCAGATGCAATTGGTGATTATATATACTTACCCCTAATGTTCCAGTGGGTGATTGTCTGTAGAAAACAGAAGAACCTGGTGGGAAATTTTGATCCTTGAAGGCATCTCTAAATTCCTGAATAGCTTTTTCCTCTGCATCGTTATACGTCCCAACAGATTTCAAGTGGGCAACGCAATTTTCTGATACCTTCCTTACGTATTCACGACCATCCAACGTTATTATCTTTGACCCCCGAATTAATTTCTCAAATGGACCTAAACAAAGTCGTATTTCATTATTCAACCCTTCAATTCAAAGCAACATCATATAGATTCATTCTTGTTCCGTTTCATCAATAATTTTGAGATGAAAATGGCAACAATTTAATGGTATACCTATGGTCACAAGAAAGTGAAGAAACTAATAAACAATAATTGTATATGGGATTCAAGTCTTATGCTTCATATTTCTAACCTTTCCTTTTCGCTCAATTTAATATATAATAACTGACAATTATGAGAATCGTTATTACTAACTAAGAAAAAAATAAGTATTTTTAGGGAACATGAAAAATGGAGGGAGAGAGAGAGAGAAGATTCTCAATCCATTTGCACATAATGGCTGTCGGCTGAGTGTATGTATAGAATTGAGTGCATATTAAAAAAAATAAAATTGAGTGCATAAAAATAGTATCCATTATTTATCAATAATTATAATAAAGACAATAATTAATGGGGCAGGATATTCTCACACCGGTGTAAGAGTTAGAAGTCTTACACTCAATCTTGATCATTGATCCACTTGTATCCAATGGCTCACATTACTAGAAAATTTGAGCCCTTAGATATAAATTGGATCAACGGATAAGATTGAGAGTGTAACTTACACTGGTGTAAAACGATCCTGACCCATAATTAATAAATGCTTTTTAAATTTTATGTATACAGGACATAATCCGGCTATCTAAACTATATTCAACGCATTGAAATAAATTATTTAAAGTTTACCCAATATATTATCGTAATGAAAGAATATAACATATTCTAAACATATAAAATCAGGGTTGGCAAAACGGGCCAACCCTGCCCGACCCAACCCAACCCGCATTCAACCCGAAAAAAATGAGCCGGGTTAGGATTGGCTCGAAAAAAAAACGAGCCAGAAAATCCAACCCAACCCGACCCGAGTCGGGTTAGGGTTGGCTCGCGGGTTGGCTCAAAAATATGGCTCGTGGGTTGGCTTGAAAAAATAACTCGCGAGTTGGCTCGAAAATTGGCTCATTTTAAGCCTATTTAAATGACCTTGTAGTATTAATGCACCAGCTATGTGGCTTCCATTAGCTTAAACAAAGGGTTACAAAATGAGAAATAAAAACAAAATATTTTATTTTCGAATTTTCTTCACAACAAATTTGCATCAACATCCAGGAACACTCAGAATCACTTGCTACCAAGTGGGTAAGATATTTGAACCAAACAAAGCCAGCACAACCTAACAATATAAAAATGGCAGGGATGTGAGAAGATTAGGGACTTAGGATTAGAGAAGGAAGAAAAATGATGACAACATGTGTGGGTTTTGTTCATTTTTGCATATTATATTTTGTATTTTTTTATAAAAAAAAAAAAAACTCAACCTGCGAGCTGGCTCGTTTGATCCGCGGGTTGGCTCATTTTTTCACGGGTTGAAACGAGCCGAGTTGGCAGCTCATTTTTGCCAACCCAACCCGGCTCATTTTTGACGGGATACAAGCCAACGCGACGGGTTAGCTCGTTTTTGCCAACCCTATATAAGATGGCATCCAGATTACTTTTGCGAAAAGTCCAAGTGATTGGAATAAGAGAGTAAAGTTACTATTGCATTACAAGGGAAAAATGTGTATCATTTTAAAGGATATAAATTGTGTCATTTTAAGTGAGAGAAAGAGATAAATCATGGAATAGAGAATGGAGAATTTTTTTTTTAAAGATGTGAGTCCTACCTCTTTGTGAGATTAAAAGGATGTAAGGTGTGTCATTTAAAATGACATATTTTTTTCCCATATTATAATTACGAAAGGTATAAGCTTTGAGGTGTACGTGCAAGCATCTATATTTTATGGAAAAAAATGTTTGTTATTTTAAATGACATAATTTTTTATTTAAAGTTTAAATTAAAAAATAAACCACTCACTTTCTTTCCATGATTTTTATTTTTTGTATCTAACTTTTTCCTAAAATGACATGACTTATGTCATTTAAAATGACAAACATCAAATCCATATTTAAATATAGGAAAAAACTACTTTTATGCTATATGTGATAAATTTTTCTCCTACACACTCTTAGATAACTGTGCCACTTTTATTTTTTATTTTTTATTTATATTTTTCAGGTGGTGGAGTCCACAAGTTTATCTCTATGACATGAGATAACTTATTTCCTTTAACATCATATTAATAAAACCTTTTATATATAAACTACCTTTGATTATATCTCTGTAGAAGTCAAGGGACACCAATAACTCAGCTGCACTCTTGCCCTTCCACTTAGCTGCAAGTGATGGCACGGCCTTGTCTTCCAAATAAACCCCTATTGTCGTGACATTCACAAATTCTCCTTGAATGGTCACCCCTCTCACCCCTACAATAATATTTACCAATAATAAAGCATTAAAAACTAATGTTTAAAGATATTAAAACTTGAAAAAAATAAAATTCTCCGACTATAAAAGATAAAGTTATTTGATGTAATTCAAAATAACATTCTTTTGGGATTTTAAAATAAAAAAAATACAGGGTGTTTTTGAAATTCTATTTCTCTCTTATAACCAAATTTTTTCCAAATCTCAAAACATAATTTTATATCACGTGACAGGATAAACTCTAAATCCTAACAAATATAGATTAGATGATAAACCATATGTCGAGAACAAGGTTAGCCATGCTTTTTTAAACCTACATGGAAATTGTGTGTATATATGGTGTATTGTTTAAGAAATTACATTGAAAATTCAAACAACGAAAATATATGTAGCTTTAAGAACCTGCGCCGCCAAGGAAATAGGACTTGGTGGAGCCCGGAGGTGTCACCACCGCCGGGTATTCAAGGAACTCCACCTTGATTGCAGTGATGGATGTTGCCGTCGCCATAACTATACTTTGTCAAATAGAGTGTTTTGTTTGAATTGGTGAAGAGTGTGCAGAAAGGAATGGTTTATATAGAAGTTATTTCAACTACGAAGTTAGGTAACACTTAGGTTGGATCTATCTATCAATTGATCACACATCTTAAAAATAATTATTAGACCAATAAAATAATATATAGTGGACAACATGTTATAATAAAATACGTCCCATAAGCCTATTCCTTGGAAATTATTATAGGAGTTTTAATTATTTCACGCAACATGATTGACTTTAAAGCCACGTTTCTATTGAAATAATGAGGCGGACGAATAACACTGCTGTTGTACAGTTAGCCAAAGCAGAAGAATTAACCCTATATGACAGTAGCCACCTTTTGAGATTTTTTTTTCCTTTCAATTATCACCCATAGATCCAATTAATGTTATAATTATTATGTACAAAAAAAATACAGGAATTTTTATATGATAGTATAATCAAATTTGCACATTGTCAAATTTAATATATATATTTTTTTGTTGGTGTCAGATTTAATATTGTAACTAGAGGTATAAAAAGGCTAGACTTTGATTTAAGTAGGTCAAGCCTGTGTAAAAAAATGTTGGGTCTAGCCTGACTTATTAATTTGTGTAGGTCTCGAATTATAAGTCTGATCTGACCTATATTTAAAAACTAAGAGTGTTTGCCTAAGCTTGTTAGCCTGTTTAAGCCTACTAAACATTCAACAATTAAAAGAATAACTAAAATAATATTACTTTATTATTCAAATTTATTAAAATAATAATTTTATTTATTTTATTTAAAATAAATAATACGATACAGCCTTCTTGTAGGCCCAATAAGTACAAAAAACTCTATGGCCTATTTTCTAAATAAATTTCTTTAAAAGTCTAGGCCTATTCTATTTTACTATTTGTAACAGGCTAAGTCTGACTTAATATAGGCTAGGTCGTAGGACCCTATAGGCCAGCCTAACCCATTTACACCCCTAATTGTAACCAATTCACAAGAATGAATAAGATTTTGAAAAAAAAAAACAAATTATGATGTAATTTTTATTTATTTTTGTAGAAATTATTATTTTAATCTTATAAAAAATAGTAAATATACTTTTTCATAGTTTTTAGTTTTTTAAAATATTTTATCAAATCATCTTAAAATTTGTTAGACATATTTTAATTTCAAAATAATTTTTGTTAAAAAGCGCAAACTAAAAGCCCTTAGTCAACTGACTTATTAGTTTTAAGTAGAATAAAATTCTCCTGTAATTTATTTTCAAGTTTTTAATATAATATAATAGCAATCCTTTCTATTATATTTTTCTTTTCCCCCCTTATAATAGTAATTTGTTGCTATGTTATTATCTAAACATAATGTGAAATTATATTTAAGTTTTTATCAATACATATTCTGTGATAATTATATGAAAATTTTCGTGTATTTGATTGAAATAAGAGACTGATGCACCTCCAAGAATTCTAATGCTCACTTATTTAATAAATGAAACTTTTATCCTATTTATATATGGAAACTGCTCAAAAATCCCCCAAAATTTAAAAAAATTCTATTTGTGAATAAGCTCATTATTAAGCTATAACCCAAATCTGTCTTTCTTTCTTTCTTTATTCTAATTTTAAGGTGAACGACTTCATGAGATATCTGGTTTTACTGTAAAATAATGAGGTAAGTAATCCCAGTCAATGAGAGGGTCACATCAAGACTTTTTGTTTTTTGTTTTTATGTACTACAAGACTTTTCAATTTGACTAGTATAGATTTAACGAGTACACTCGTATTCTACTTTTTTTTTTTTTTTTTTTATCACATATGTTATCGTTTAATAGTATATACTTCATACCAATTTTTTTTTTTATATATTTTGCATAACTTTCCTCACCGACATTTATTTATGGGATTTCAATCCCTCGTGTTGCTGAAAGAAATTTGATCCTGTAGAATAATATAATTATATACTATATATAATATATAATTATAATATTAATTTTTTTTTTCTTTTCGAAAAACGTCAACTTGGTGGAGAAAGAAAAATAATTTTAATATTATATTAAGGAAATGTTATATTTACAAATTTTTTGTTTACAAACTCTTATAAATTATACTAAATATAACCGAACATACTTCAATCAAGACTGTATGACCGGTCATACTTGGTATAATTTGTAAAAAACAAATTTGTAAACTGATCCTTCCCCCTTATAACTATGTACTACTCATAATACATAGTTATAATATGTAACATAACCAGATTTTGCTTCCTACAATTCTTATATTTCCCTTTATTTATTTACTATTCTATTTTAGTCATTGATCTTAATGGCATATAATTTTGTATATATTTATTTCTCTTTAGAACAAACAAAACACAGTTTAATTTCATAAAAATAGTAGAAATACAAGTGTAGGAAACAAGCAGTTCCATAAATTTATTGATAACTGACAAGAAGGTAAAAGGAGAGAATCATAGTGAAAACAAATTTCGATATTTGAAAAAGCTGGAGTCTCTATATGTTTTGCAGCAACCTCTTTGTGATTTTCAGTTTCCAGGGTTGAAAATACCCTGTTTGAATACGACAGGTAATCTTGCAGCTAAACTGCGTTTTAAATCAGGGGAAACAGCATGTTCTCCAATCATGGTCTCCAACACTGCCTCCGATGCTGCCTTGTTCTCTATAACTGTAGCCTCATGCTGTGGTGGTATTGTCCCATCTTGACAGAAACTAAGCTATATATGGTTTTCAAAATAATAAAGACAGACACACTGATATTAATTAATTAGTGAAAGAGAAAATATAATTAATTGGTGAAAGAGAAATACAATTAATTGGTGTGAAAGAGATACTAACCCCTAATATTCCATCAGGTGATTGCCTGTAGAAAACAGAGGCACCTTGTGGGAAGTTGACATTCTTGAAGGCTTCAGCAAATTTTTCAATGGCTGCGGCTTCAGCATCACCATAAGTCCCAACCGACTTCATATGCGCCACGCAGTTTTCCATGACCTTCCCTGAGTACTCTATCCCAGTCAATGGCCTGATCTTTGACCCTCGAATTAACTTTTCAAAGGGACCTGAAAAAAATTAACACCTTCCAATTTATTATTTATATTTCAAAAGCTTTACTTACTAAGCATAATATCCTGCATTACTGAATAGTCATGGTCAACTTTTGTATTTTTATTTGTATTTTTTTCTTAATTCAACTATATTGCTCATGCATATGACTTTTTTTTTTCTTTGTATTTTTAGATATAACGCTGTGACTTGTGAGATTCATCACTCAGGTAATATCATGATTGGTTAACCTCTTTTTCTTTTCTTTTTTTATAAACCTAACTCTGATTCCCCCTCATAAAGAAAGACTTGCTTTTAACCTAAGTCTGATTGGTCATGACATTTTATATTAATAATTTGTAGGACAGTGCACTTGTTTCATACATCTTTTTTATTTTATGGATTTGTTTTGCAAAGGGCATCCCTCTAGGCAGGTTGGGGACACCATGACATATAGAGCCGGTTTAGATAAGCCTTTTTCTCTCCAAAATTCTCATAAAAATAAAATAAAATAAAATTATTTGGATGCTTATTTAAAAAAAAAACAAAAATTATAAAAAAAAGTCAAAAATTTACTTTTTTTTTAAGCTAAATTTTTTAGCAAGTAAAAGTCAAAAAGCCAAATAATTTTTTTTAAAATCAATTTTTTAAAAAAAAAATCTAAATAACTTTAACTTTGTAAAAAGCACTTTTAAAATAAGCAAAACTTAAAAAAAAAAAAAAACATTTTTTTCAAACGGGCTCGTAAGATATGAATCATGAACCATTCCATTAACATTGACTCATTCAATTGTGGAGTGGACACGGCACTGCATGCTCCGGTCTCTCTAAATTTCTAATGGTTAGCATGCTTTAGTTTACTCTAATTTTGTTCAAGGATGACTGTATGTAAATAAAGTTCAACTATTGTACCCGACAAAAAAGAAAGTCCAACCCAAATATGTATGAGTCGAGTAATGACCATTTTGTTCAAAATTTGATAATTCAGTTTATGATTGTTTATTCAATTTTTGTAACGAATATTACCATGCTTAAATCTTTATTTACTTTTTCTTTATCTAAATTTATGCCTTCGTATCATTATATTATTGTGCTAAAAATAGAATACTTTAAAGAGCCCAGATGATGAAAGTTCAAATTAATCTTTTAAACCGAGATGTATGTTTATTTGCTAAGGTTAATATATTTAAGTAATATACTTGTTAAATTTCACAATTTTTTTGGTCTCTCCACTTTCTTAGAATTCAAACTTGCATTCCAGTTTTTGGGAGATTGAATAGGACATGCCAACTAGTAACATGCACGTGCTAAGAGGAAACAAATTGTCCGGAGTTGCACACGATGCAAATTGCACGACACTCGATGCAATTTCAAATTAAAAAATTGCACAAAAAACATATTAAATTAACTTAATAAATACCTTTATTAAAAAAACAAAATACTTTAACGACAGAGATCAGCTGTAGTTGTTGGGGATCTAAATTTAAAATAGAGTCCATTCATTTTGTTTCCAATTTACTAAGGAGCACACAAAGAGTGAAGAAAGGGAGAGTTATTTTACCTGAAATGATATCTCTGAAGAAGTCGAGGGTCTCCACCAAATCTTCTGAACTCTTACCCTTCCACTTGGCCAGTGATGCCACTGCTTTATCCTCCAAGTATACTCCTATGCCAGTGAACTTTATGAAGTTCCCCTCAATTATCAATCCTCTCTCCCCTGCTCATTTGAAAATCAAAAATAATCGCCACAATTACAGCTATCATTGCATAGTTAAATCATATCAAAACAAAAAAAAGAGATATAAATTCTTAAGTTTTTGTTATCATCTTCCACATTTAAAGAGATAGATATTTAATTGGTGCACAATAGTTATATGGTCCTTTTTTCAGAAAAAAAATTATTCTTTTCCTACCAATTATAATTATGTATTTTGAAAAGTACATAATTACGATATAATTGTTTTTTCTTTCTCAGCCAGTCAACAACTCCCAGAGTGAGAAAAAAAAAAATTAATATTATAACTATGTACTCAATACATAGTTATAATCAGTGTGGTTGAAGAATTTTTTATTCAGGAACAAGTAGATTTCCCTAATTATATAAGAAGTATTAGAACCTGCGCCGCCGAGGAAATAAGTCTTGGAGTTGGCTGGAGAGGTAATCACCGCTGGGAACTCAAGGTTCTCCACCTGGATTGCGGTGATGGATGGTGCTGCCGCCATAGTCAAGAAAATACACCACTTAGTACTCTTTCTTAAGAGCGTATGTTTCAAATTTTGTTTGTGACTTGTAAAAAGAATGTAAGAGAAGTGTTTATATAGAAAATGGTTCGATGTTTCATATTTGACTGTGTATAGTTTTTCCTTTATTAATTAAAATATACACTTCACATTTTTATACACAAAAATATTTTTGTATTTTCATGCTTAATAGTATTTTAGTCAGATGATTTTCGAAATAAATTACGTGAATCTTGATTATTTTTCTTTCAGGTATTTGTTTGGATTCTCTTATTTTTACCTTTTTTTTATTCTTATAATTAGAAATTAAGCCAAATAGATTTGAGAAAACCTCTTTAGCAAAAAGTACAAAGCTCTTGGAAGGAGGTTTTTTAAGTTTTTATCAGTTTTTTTTTTTCTGAAATTAAGAGTCAAAGAGATAGAGAGAAATAGATTTTTCTTAAAATGTGTACTTTCAAACTAAATTTTTTATGTAATCATTAAATAACTTCTGTTTTTTTTTTTTAAGTTTTTTTTAACTTTAGTTCAAAAATAACTTTTAACTTAAAAAAGATGATTCAAGCGGGCTCTAGATTATCCCTTATAAACCACAATACGTGCCAATTTATATTTTTATAAGAAAAAAGCGATTGTGATGAATATGATGATTAACATAAATTATGTATAGACGAAGAAGGAAGAAAAGAAGAAGGAAAAACACTTCTCCTAAAGTTCTTAATTAGTATTTGTTTGAGTTTCCATCGATAATATACATAATTTTTATGTATTTGGATTTTAATATGGATTTAAAATTTCTAAAATTACTTTATATGCTTTTATCTAATATTTATCAAAATACACATATAAAAATAGGGAAAAATGTTTCTGCAGTTAATATGCAGATAAGTTATCTGCATTTATTCCCAAAACGACGTCGTTTTGGTATTGAAATCTCAAAAAATTATAAATATAAATACTATTATAACCCTGAAATAAATTAAAATTAGAAAAATACCATGATTTCCACTCCAAAACGACGTCGTATTGATTTACTGCAGATAACTTATTTGCAATAACTGCAGAAAAAATGAACCCATAAAAATATGTAGAGTCCATGTTTTTTTTTTTTCTCTTCACATGAATTTATATAAATCTCACATATTTTTTTGTGTATTTTAATAAATATTAAATAAAAAGATTTTATATATGTCATGTTGTAGGACACTTTTAGTGTATGTTACTCTCACAAAAAAAATGACCTCACCTTATTTTCTTTTTTTCTCTTTCTTTTTGAGTGGGACTCACATCAAATATATTAAAATAACATGATACTAAAAATATCTTATAACATGACATATATAAAATTCTAAATAAAATTATTTAAAATAACATTTAACAACTTTAAACCCTTTTAATATATATGCCACATTATGGGCACAAATCCAATACGCGACTCTCTCTTTTTCACTTTTATGTTGGTCAATTGTCACCTACCCACCTAACTCGTACATTTGAAAAAGAACAAAAAAAAAGAAAAGAAAAAACTGTACGATCTTTATTGCATTCTTATGAAAAGCCATCGCAGGACTACGCTGACTTTGAAAGTATACAAGAAAAGAAAAGACAGAAGATATTCTCACTGTCCAAAATTTTCATTACCAACTTATTATCTATCTAATCACCATTGAATCAAAGAGAAAGAATGCTACAAAGTTTTTGAAGAAAGAGAAAATATTAATTCAATAGTGATTAGGTAGATAATAAATCGGTAGTGAAAAATTTTAGTAGTAAAAATATTCCTTCTCATAAGAGAATTAGAGAAACAATTTTCATACATCATATCATATTTTTCTTTTCAGTAACTGAAGGGTGTCCCCACCCCCTTTGGAAGTGAGACTAATCCCAATCGAGCACGGTAGGATCCTTGCGGGAGTGGCTCAACCCAATTTTTTTTTCCCCATATCCAGAGCTCGAACTCGAGACCACTGATTAAGAAAACAGCCTCCGAACCACGTGTGCCAAAGGGTTTGGATACATCATATCATATATTTGGAGGTGACTAAAAATTGTTAAGGAATAATGAATTTAGTTCAATTAAATATGTTAGAGTATTTATAACTAGTTGTCCATACCGTGATATAGCGATAGCCTAACTGATTTTGAAATGAAAATAAAAAAATAAATAAAAAAACACTAGTTCTTAATTAAACTTCTTAATTTGATTTTCTAAAACATTTAGCTAATAATGTAAGGGTAAAGGATTTCTCCAGTCAACGGAGATAAGTTATTTCCAATGAACCCAAAACGACGTTATTTTGAGGCGAAAATTAAGGTATTTTTGTAATTATAATATATTACAGGATTATTTTAGTCTTTATCATTATAATTTTTTAATCTTATAACTCCAAAACGACATCGTTTTGAATTCACTAGAGATAACTTTATCTCCAGTGACTGGAGAAATATTTTTTCCATAATGTAATATGATTTATTATTTCTAATATTTTAGGAGATAAATTTATCTCCTACGAATATAAAATGTGTTAAATTCATGTTTTCTCTTTTTTTCTTTTCTTTTTTTCTCACATGAGTTCTATACACTTTTATATATTTATATATATATATATATATATATATATATATATATATATTACATGAAAAAAATTAACCCCGATATAATTATAGAAAACTTGCTAAAAAAACCGAAAAGGACATGTTTCCTTCAAATAAAAAATTTATGTGTTCCTCTACCAAAAAAAAATATATTTATGTGTTCGATTACTCAAAACTAACAGGCATGTACCATCAAGATTTGTTTCCCCATAATTAAATATATATCTTCTTCTCTCTCTTGTTATTTATTTATGGGCGATTCGATATTATTTTTTTGCAGCAGCCGTAGAAGAATAGTATTTGTCTTATAGATAAAATTGAGATATATTAATTTTTTTTTCAGAATCCAATGTTATATCTAGATAATTTTATATTTATGGCAGATAAAGTATCTCTACTATAACTACGGAAATATTTTTTTTCTTTATTTATTCGAGTCCAAATGGGTTTACTCATATACGACAGAGAACAGAACATAAGGACATGTGAGGTTCAGAATTTGAGATGTACTATCAGACATAATTTTATAAACAAATTTTATGAAAATTTTATGGATAATAATTTTTTTATACAAAAGGAGATATCCACTGTTAGGAAGAAGAGAAAGAAAAAGTAGAGTGGGATTCATTTTGAATTTGTGTGTAGGAGATAAATTTTTTTTTTTTTGGAGTTACCCAACCCTAATTACCTCTTTGAGTCGAGTTGGCTCCTTCCGGTATCTCCACGAGCTTCGACTCTTTGAGCCGGCTATGGGACTAATCCGGAGTGCGGGGGATCAGTGATGACTAAAGGTTCAGCTCCCTCCCCAAGAATGCATTCAGCAGGAAAGATAAATTCTTTCTTATGTAATATAAGAATAATAAATTTCAAAATTTATATGAAAAAACAGATTATGATATTGATTCACTTCCTTTTCCGGTCTCTTTGACAGAAGGGAATGACATCATGTAATTTGTGAAATGGGTGTATGTCAAATAGTTGCTTTGCTCTAATTAAAGGGGATTTAATTAGAAACGGTAGGTTAGAAAATGAGGATTATTTGGTGGAAAAGTCAAAGTCTTCAACGGGGCAGGAGAGACGTTTTAACGTTTCACATAACCTGGTCGTTCCTCTAACTTTTGTTCACACTCTTACCACCAACCGTAATGCACACGTCTCCCATTTACAAAACTTCAGAAAAATTAGTACTTGAAATGGGAAGAAATTAATCTCACTCTAAATTTGTTTTACAGCACAATAGTACCTCTTATCGAACAACATAAAAAATGGAAACTGAAAACAACTCGTGAGCAAGGGGCATATTAACAAGATCCTGAATTACTAATGTCAATGCACTTTGTAACCATCCAGTGCCTTGTTACCACACTTGAACGCTTACAAATTATAAAAACGCTTGATTTTGTCAAAAAAAAAAAAAAAAAAACGAGATTAGTTTGTCTACTAAAATAATAAAAATAGATTAGTTTTTTTTATGTTATATATGAGAATTTTATTTCTACATACACATTAAAATATATGGATCTCATTTTTTTTCATATGATCTCGTAGAATTTTATATATATAAAAAGATAAAATTATCTTCAATGATATCATGAGAAACATTAATCTCTAATTAAAATATCGGCTTTAAATTTAAGATAAGTAATACTATTAACATATTGTGGTGGGGCCCACCTTAACAAAAAACAAGAGTTTTATAAGAGTTATTTTGTAAGAAAAATAATTGCGTTATGTTATAAAGAATCGTTTTGCGTAATTTTTTTTTCTTCAAAATATATTAGTCCCACAAAATATTGTGTAAGTAAAAAACTTTGTGTGATCATATTAAATAATAAATGCAATCCCAAAAAACAAACAAAACGATGCACACTATTCCAAGGATCAGTAGGAAACATGGTTTTTTTGTTTTTGTCTCCCAGCGTGTCTCCCAATGTGTTAAAATATTCATCAATATATCAAATTGTAAGGATAGACATTACAACATTCGGCTCCACAAAAATTCCTGAATCCACCGCTAAGCAGACTCACACCACCTAGATTCCTTTACTTTTTGAAATTTCACACCAAATTTCAACCGTTGATTTCTATCAATCAACGGTTAGCATTTATTGAAATTAATAATTAATTAATAAGTGTAATTCTAAATAAATGATAACCGTTGATTGACGGAAATCAACGGTTGAGATTTGGTGTCAAATTTCAAAATTTGACACCGGTGTCAAAAGATCCTATCCCTATATATATATATTTAATATTTTAATAAATATTAAATAAAATTGAGGAAGATTATATTTACAACTTATTTTTGTTTACAACATTTTAAAATCATATCTTAACACCGTTGATTTTCGTCAATTAACGGTTATTATTTTTTAAATTAAACTCACTAATTAATTATTAATTTACAATAAATAATAACCGTTGATTAATAAAAATCATCAGTTAAGATATAATTGTAAAAGATTGTAAACAAAAATATATTGGAAGTATAACTTTAACACCTATAATTGTCTCTGTGTCTGGTCAGTACGTTCATAGTTCTTGACGGTGCGATGGATTTCGGCTTTTCAAGAGTTAGTTACTTCCTAACATTTTTCCAGCTTCATAATGATGAAGTTTGCACACCTTTCTTTCTGAGCAAATTCTCAAATCAATTCCTGTTCAACATATTAGCCAAATTCAACTTTCAATAATTTACTATTTTTCTTTTCAATTTCAATAAACTTACAAAACTTCTAAGATTTTTAAATAATTATAAGATCAAAACAATGTCACTATATTTCCTCTCCATTTTCTATTTTGTTTTATTTCCAATACTTTTTTTCTTCCGTGCTTTGAGCTCATTTATTTTGAATAAATTACAACTTATCATCTATACTTATATCATTTCTTAAAAAAAATTACTTTGCACTTGAAATTATTAACTTATTTATATTATATCATTACAATGATTAAACATGACTATTAATTTTAAGATAAAAATACCTTTATTTATCATCTCAGCACCGTCTACTATCACCCTACTGGCCAACTCCATCACCACTGCCATAAGCATATCTTCAACGATATATTAAAAAAAGAAGAAGGAAGATTCAACTGTCAATAATCATAAAGAGGTGGAAAAAATAAAATAAAAAAAATAATTTTTTTTTTAAATTTTAACAAGAATGTATTATGTGTTCTATACTCTCATAATACAGAAAGTATTTTTCACCTCCACGGGTATCCCCGAACTTGGTATAAATAATGTTAATCATATTAATAAAAAAAATGCTGATTTTCTGAAAAAAAAAAAAAAAAAAGACCATGTAAGGTAGTAAGGGTTAGGATACCAAAAAAAAAGAAGAAGAAGTAAGGGTTAATTAATTCAACCTTTTCTCTTTTCATTTTCTTTGGGTACACAATCGGGCCGAAGCCCAAATGTTATTATCTTTCTTCAGTTGACTAATTAGTAAGTGTAAGTGATGATTGATGAACATTGTTATATATAAAAAAATATCCAAAGGATTTTATGCTAAACGACGTCGTCTACCTGGACGTGTATATCATAACCATCGACGTCTTCATCCTCTCGATTCTTGAAATCCGTAACGAAGAAAATAACAGAGAGACATGCTTGGTGTGCGTTCCAAACTTGCTTGTTCATAGTATCAAGTATCAACTCTCCAAACCCTAAAGTTGTTGCATGCATTTTATCTCTCTTCCATTTCCAATTTCAGAACTCTGAACTCTGAGAAAGGCTCTGCCAGAAAACATGTCGTCTTGGCTGAGATCTGCGGTCAACAAAGCCGTCGAGGTCGGCAACAAGAACAACCTCACTCGCACCGTCAAGAACTACGCCGACTCCGTCGTTCAACACGCCGGCCAAGCCGTTGCCGAGGGCGCCAAAATCCTTCAAGATCGCATTGTAAAATCCCCACATTTTATTCCCCCTTTTCTTCACCGCTTTTGATGATTTCTCTTTTGTTTTCACGTGGTCTTTCATTTTTAATTGGAAAATGCACCTGTTTCTTGCTATTTTGGGTGTGATTGTTATCCCAATTAAAGTGTTTTGAGTTAACCCTTTTTTGATTTGAGAATGAGGAGAATACAAATTTCATGTTATGTGCACCCCGCAGGCAGCTCGGAATTATAGAAGTGTTGCGCTGACATTAAAAAGATTGGAAGAAGCTGCTATCTCCTTTAGAGGACCCGAGAGAGTACAGTTGCTTAGAAGATGGCTTGTTGTGCTTAAAGAGATTGAGAAATTGTCCGCAGCTTCAGCTGAAGGTAAAGAGAAGACTCTTGAAGAGCACCTTGCTGTTGAAGAAACAAAGGAGAACCCAAGCAGACCATCTCTGGTTAGAATTAGAAACCTTCCTACATACTTTGCATGCAATCATCTTAGCTTGGTATAACTGATTTTAGGCTATTGCAAACTTATAATCTACTCAAGTTTCTGGATATTTTGCTATACCTTTTAAGGAATATTGCACAAACAAAGCATACTTCAGAAGCTTTTGCTGTTTGTTTTCCCACTGCTACTGTTCGTCGAAAAGCTGCATTGTCTTTCCCTGTTTTGGATGATAATAGGATTCTTGGGTTGTAAGCCTATGTCTTTTGCTCCCAATTAAATTACAGAAGGACCTTTTCTCTGCTGTCTGGTATTATATGAGTGGAGAGTGCCAGAGCGGTTGTTTGATATCATGTTACCATTCCAGCTTTCCACCATCCAAACCTTCTTTAACTGCCTTCTCTGTGATGCCGTTATATTATATATATTAAGTTGTAATGTACTATTATTTGTTAGAGAAATATAATTATAAACTATTGATGTGACTTTCACCTAACAGTTTAAGCTTTTGGATTGAATTTGTTGCTTTACATGATACCAGAGGCTCTGTGACCAAGTGATCACGAGTTCGATCCTCTCTGTCCCTATTCTATTAATAAAATTAAAATATTGTGGAGTTTTTTTAGCACAAGGTGGGCTGTGCACTATCCACTCTTAAAACCCAATAGGCTCTTATGTGAGGGGGCGTGTTAGAGAAATATAATACAATAGAATCAATGTGGCCTTCACCTAGCAGCTTAAGTTTTTAGGTTGAATTGATTGTTTTACATTATGAGCTTCTTCCTTGTTAGCTTAGCTGTGTGTCTATGATTGCAGATAATTGATAAGTAACTTTTTTAAGTTGGTGATGTAGTCCTTGAAATAGTGAGCCTAAAGGCATCCTTATACCTTAGCTGTTGTGTTTTTGGTACTACTGGTTCTTTTCAGGTTCTTTATTATGATTCTGATGTTGGAGGTGAACCATTAAGTTTTCGTGATGTTTTTCTTCGAAGTCAGGCTTTGGAGGGTATAACATTATCAATGGTATGTTTAATCATTTTCAACTATTATGTACAGTTATGCTGATTTTCCCATGGTATATTGATATGCAAGCGTATAACATAGATAACTATGATTTCTTCTATATGCATAAACCTGTGGTGTTTTAAGAAGTCTTAGCTAAAGCGGTGCAAAAAGAGTAGCATGTTTCAAGTATATTTGTGAAGTGAGGCATTGCATTAGCTTTGCAAAAATCCAAGGTGCAAGCTTGAGATTCAGGCTCTAAGTGTGAAATGTGAGAGGGGAAAGAGAAAAGTGAGAGAAACTATTACTGTAGCTTGTATGTCCAGAGGTGCACTGTGTATGTCCAAAATATAAATTTAATGTAAAAATTAGTATAATCACTTTATATTTTCATGAGAGTTAATAGCTTTTCTTGTGAGTGTTCCATCAATTATATTTTGATATAGTGGAACATATCTTCTTCCCTTTTTTCCCTTGATATATAGTTTTGCAGCTTTATCTTCTGGTAGTATCCTTATAATGGTGAAAGAAGATCATTCTGGATAAGTCATTTTTTTTGTAATTGCTGATAATAGAGGTTAACCGCAGGGTTAACTCTTTTCTATTCCTCAGATTATTGAAGCTCCTAATGATGAAGAGGTTTCCCTTCTCCTGGAGATGTTTGGGTGAGTCTATTAGTTTTATATATATTTTGAATGTCTCATTGTGATTTGCAATTGGCTACTTGCATGTGGTATTTTACCGGCATGGCTCCTCCTGGATTTTATGCATATGACCTTTAGGTCTAGTGATGACTCCTAGATTTGAAACCCTTTGGTACATACGATATGATTGTGAAAACAATATCTGCACCATCTAGATTTTTAGTTTCATCTGCTTCTTTGTGAGAAGTTTTTAATATTTCAGTCGTCCGAAGATACATCCAATCGTATTTTAATCATCCTTATTTATATAGGCTTTGCCTTACTGGAGGAAAAGAAGTTCATAATGCCATAGTAAGCAGCTTACAAGATCTGGCAACGGCTTTTTCACGCTATCAAGATGAAGTACTGGTAAGAATGATTATGATTTCACTCATATCCGCATATAGATATATTCTTTAGTAGTAAACACTTCTTAAGTTTTCTCCTCCCTCTTTGGTTAATTGTATTTTTTAAGTTGAATTATGTTTTCGTGAAATTGTTGGAGGTTGTTTAGTGCGTTGATAATCAGTATTTATATTCACATTTAAGTTTAAATTTTAAGTACACGCATTTTTAACTCCTGGAGTAGCATTCTCCTTGACTAAGTTTTTAATTTTGATTTTTGAAAATATCTAAAATGAGTAAGCTAACTTTATGCTATACAAAAGACTATTAAAACCAAAAAATAAATTATCTGGAAGAACTGCACCAAAAATTGATGTAGCAGTAATACCACTGAATTACTATTAAGAACCATAATGGGAACGTGTCCTGTCTCTCAGACTTGGTTATCCTGTTTCAGATCTTTGACTACATTATCATTCATATAGTCAAATGTTTTTTTGATATATCATTTTTTAAGCTTGGGAAATGTTATTAAATCTATGATTAATTTTAATTTTTTATAAGGCATTTAACACTGATAATTTGAAAGGAAAAAATGAAACAAAAATCAGAATTTTGTAACTTAAGTTGTGGATTTTTAATATATCATAAAATTTTGTATAGACTGAATATCAACCAACACCTAATAGCTCAATTTAAAAGGTAACCTGACCTTAAACTTCTCAATGCTATATTGGAAGTTAGAATTATTGTGAAGTACTGAATTTTTAATCTTAAATGTGGTCAAATAAGAAAGTAATTAAAGAAATGAAATATAACCCCCTTGAGACAGCTCAGTTGGTAGATCTGTGAGATGTGCTTGGAGTGTGGCGGTTCAAATCCCACAATGCACTTTGTCCCCTTTTCCATCTCCTTTCCCATACCCTCTGTCCATGGGGCCTCCTGTGGTCTTCCCCAGGGCTCATCAGTATTGGGTCCTCCCATAACCCAAAGAAAAAAGAAGAAGAAATGAAATGTAAAACAAATCATATGGTCGTGGGTATGCCAATGTTAGAGAATAATATAAACGATTAAAAAGACGTTCACCTAAAACCTTAAGGTTTTGGGTTGAAATGATTCTTAACATGGTATCAGAGCTTCAGTGACTACAACGTTACGAGTTCGATCCTCACCGCCCCCACTTTCTAGTGGAATTAAATAAGTACAAGGTAAATCAAAAATTGGGCCTGCGCAATATTCACGCTTCAAGCCCAAAGGGCTCTTGCGTGAGGGGGTGTGTTAGAGAATAATATAAACGATTAAAAAGGTCCTCACCCAACACCTTAAAGTTTTGGGTTGAAATAGTTCTTAACATAGGCACGTAAAAGCCCTTTGGACTTGAAGTGTGGATATTGCACAGGCCCAATTCTTGGTTTACCTTGTGCTTATTTAATTCCACTAGAAAGTGGGCGGTGGTGAGGATCGAATACGTGACCTTGTGGTCACTGAAGCTCTGATACCATGTAAAGAACCAATTCAATCCAAAAGCTTAAGCAGTTGGGTGATGGCCTTTTTAATTGTTTATATTATTTTCTAACAGCCAAAAATCTACAGGCCATAGGTATATAGCTGCTGGATATTTTTTGATTTTTATGCATTTAATGAGATTGTTATATGTTTACCTTTTTCTTCAGGTGAAACGGGAAGAATTGCTTCAGTTTGCACAAGGCGCCATCACTGGGTTGAAAATCAATTCTGATCGTGCAAGGTCAGTATGAAGCAAGGGGTTTCCATTGTCATTTTCTTTATACAATTTCTGCTATACATGTAAATTTTGAGGTCTGATCTGGAGTTATATTCTAGAGTCTATAAATTGTGTCATGATGAACTGTTTTCTTAATTGGTTTTTAGCCTCTCGCAGTGATTAATATTTGATGTTTTTGTTGTAATCTCATTTGATTAACAAAATAATTTGTACAGATATGTTTTAGTAAGAACAATGTTGCTCTAGGAACATCTGAGATCTGAATGGTATGTAGCCTTGATCTTGTGTGACCCCAGTATAATATGTGAAGGTAGCATTTCAATGGTTACTTAGGGTGGAAAATGATTTTTCCTATTGCAGTGCTGAGTTCTTACTGACTTGATGGTAGGATTGTTATCTTGTACCTCCCTCCAGCATCAGGCCTCTGTTTTGATTAATATTGGAGAAAATGGTAGGAAATCAAATTCATAAATAGGGGTGTGGTGAGAACTATTTTCATTTTTGGATAGCAGAAGAAATTTATTAGAGAGAAAAGACTATTACAACCACGGCGGATGATACGAAATCATCCTAAATAGAAAAGCTGAAAGAAAACAGTGAGCCTAGAGAGATTAAAAAATGCAATAAAGGTGTCCAATCTTTCTGCACATCATACGAAGACTCGAAGAGATTTAGAGGTTATAACTTAAACACTGCCATAATCTTTCCATCATCATTTAGGCTTGACAACTGCAGCAGTGGTTGAGCCACATTGATTTGAGGGGGAGCACAGGCCCCATGAATTTTTTTAATGAATGAACAAGTACTAAATTAACAAGTATTAACAAAAAATACATTGGACGAATGATTTTTTGGTCATTTACACTGAGAAAGATATATTTATTGGCATTGACGAGGAGCTTATTGTTCGAAGATTTCAAAACATGAGATCTCACATGGGACAATTATAGAAGGAAATTTTTAATTTAATTCAACTGACAATAGTTAATTGCTGTTTATCTTTTATATATGTCATGATGCTCTTTTATGCTTCCCGAACGTCGGGCCTGATTCCGCCAATGAATTGGGGAGGGTGTTGGCTCAACCTGACCCTGTCCTACCCCTTCAAGATAACACCCAACCCATCCCTACTTGTCCCGTGGGTTTTACTGATGAAAACCCAAATCTGCTCCGCATTTATGAATATTCTAAATGAATTTATTCCGAAATAATTACAATTTTAAATCAGTCCATCATTTCATATAAATTAAAAGGAATGTTCAAGATTAGTGTTAAACTAATAAAGGAAATGTTTGCAAAAACTACTATTTAATATGAATAAACACTGACTTTATTTGTAGGTTTACTAGACATGATACTTATTTAGATGAAGGGTATGGGGTGGGGCTGATTGACCCCACACCCACCCTGCTTTTCCCCATCTAATGTATTGGGGCAGGATTGCCTTACTCTCACTGCCTCTGGCACAGCCACCCCTTCTCGTCCCACTGACTTCATCTCTAGCCACTGCTGTGACCTTTAATTCCCTACCTTATTGGTGTACCAAATGTAGATATATAATGGAATAGTCTTTCCAATCTTTTCTTTTAATAGAAAAAGAAGTATTATTAAACAGAAGTACACCAGGGAGAGCATAATGTACCCTCAAGAGTTGGACAAAATACAGCAAAAAACTAGGCAGAAAATTAGGATTTCGTGGGGCAGTTCAATCCCTTTGCAAGACGACATCCATGAAACAACTATGGGCCGAGCACCTATGAAGCACCGATACCAGAGAGAAGCTAAGAACATAATCCTGTCCCAAAATAATGCATTCCAGCAGTATATGCTTAAGTATATATAATCAGGGACTACAAAATTAACCAATATACACCTTTAACTGGTAACAAATAAAATTGAAATAAATTGGTGAGACCACTACATAGGAAATGAATTGAATGAAATCTTTTGTATAAGATAAGCCACCTTCAACAATTTTGGTTCTTTAAGGCTTAATCTTCTGCTTTCTTCATCTACTTTTGGATGGTCTCACATATCAGTAGTTGATTATATCTGCTTGTGCACTAAAATGTCAATATTTTCATGTTAGGTATAAATTACAGATCCTTTTAGAGGTTGCTTCTATTGATAATATCTAAAATCATTTTATTGCGTGTCTAACATTTGGAAGCAGGCTTTGATGTTGTTTTTGAATCAAATTGAAATATTTCATTTTGCACATGAATTATTAAAACTTTTGAAATGTTTCATTTATCAGGTTTTTGTTAAATATTAATTTTAGTTATTGTCAGTGGATACATGATTTGCTGCTATAATATGAAAGTGGGAAAGCTGTGCTGCAACTGACTGCACATGATTCCTTTCTTACTGCAGAATAGATGCTGAAGCTTCTAGTCTTAAGAGAAAGCTAATTGAGATAACAACTACACAGGAGCCTGTAAACAAAGGTGATTATAAAGCTGCTGAGGAAACAACAGCAACGCTAGAGGTGTGTTTCTGTCATAACTTCCTTTCTGTAATATAATAATATATATGCCCTGGAATAAGATATTTTACTAGTCAACTTTGCTGCTTGCATTCAATGCGCTTCTTTCAGATGATCTTATTTTCCACCTTTCTTCTTTTAGGAAGAGCTGCTATTAGACTGTAAATTCCTTAGTTCGTTCTTGAATTCCAGGGGAGATCCCCACTCTCCTCTCTCCGTTGGCACCCCTATAGATATATATATATATATATATATATATATATATATATATATATATATATATATATATAACATTCATCAGATGTCACGTTTTATCCTTTTAAATATTTTCTTTTGGATTTTGAAGGTTTAAAGTGATTGATTATTAATTGAATATATGATGCTTTCATACCTTTTCACTTGAATTTTTCTCTTAGTTTTACGAACTATCATGAGTTTAGACTTTAGAGCTCTGTTCTGAATTTAATTCCAAGATCTTAAATGTTCGAAACTGAGCAATTTTTTGAAGAGAATCAACCACTACAGTCAATCATTTAATACATGTTTATATTTAATTATTTATTGTATTTATATAACCCTTTCCATGTATTGAAATTTAAAAAATGGAGTATAACCAGTTGGCCATTATTAGGGACACTGTTGTAATTGTATTCGAAAAAAAATTTCTGGTAGAATAGGATGAGGTATACATATTCTACTAGAATGCTTCTTTTCTTGCTGAGTTGTCCCTCTATATTAGAGTATTAAGTTCAGTTAGTTTACTGTAGTTCAGTTAGTTTACTGTACAGTGTGTTAGGTTAGTTCACTGTGCAGTTCCATATTTTACGGAGTCAGTTGCAAGTTGCAACAGATGCAACTGATTAGCTTTCCAATAGCAGGTCTATAAATAGACCTCTGTACTATCTTCTTCACTTTTGATATACAACAGAATTGTGAAAGTCTTTTTTCTCTCAGATTTTCTATCTCTTTCTAGTTCACCTTGATTTCGTTTACTCTACAGCTTTATTTATGTAATGCACAGTGACACTTTTATCAAGTCAGAAATACAATATTGAAAACTTACAGCTTTTCTTCTCTCTCACTTCTCTCTCTCCTCTCTGTGAGGGTGAGCCTTGGATCAACAGTAAGGTTGTTCCTTGTGACCGGAAAGTCACGGGTTTGAGCTTGTAAAACAGCCTCTTTGCCAAAATGCAAGGGTAAGGTTGCATACAATCAATCCTCACCCCTACTCTTGTATGTGAGGAAGCCTTATGCAATGGGGTTTGCCCTTTTTCTTCTCTTTGATCTCTCTGATCTCTCGCTAAGGGCCTGAACCAAACCTTAGGTGGCAAAGTGGGCTGACCTGCTTCTACCCGCCTTCAACCGCCAAAAACGGGGTGGGGCGAGTTGACCCGCCATTGGATGGTTGGTTGGAAATATCAACTATTAGATTTCCACCATTAAAGGAAAGCGCGAGAAAGTGAGAGAGAATGTTGAGAGAGAAAAATCAGAAGAGACATTTTGTTATTGAATAGTAGTGAATGAAATGATAGAGAGAAAGATAACGAGCTCTATTTATAGAGCTGAGGCTGACTCAATGATGAGTCTGCATCCTAACAACTCGTACAACTGAAAATACAACAGAAAAGGAACAAACTAACAGACTAACAAACTTAACTGGTGCATAGAAAATAATCTACTACACAAGGCTAGCTATGCTAATATCAACCCACACTGTTTTAAGGTGGGTTGGCCCGCCAACTCACCATTGACCCGCTAAAATATTCATTGAAAAAAAATTCATAAAAAAAAAATTCCCAGCTGAAGCAGCAAGCAATCAAGGGTCCAGGCTTTCAAAATTCCAATAACCATGGCAGAAATGAGAGAATGTAATAGAGGACTGTATCCGGTAAAGTGCTGATCCTATCAGCCATCTTTTGAAGCTTTTTATCATAAAAAGAAAGAAAAAGAAAATTTACAAATGCTTCCTTCTCAAGTACAGCCAACACAACAGATCCATCCATAATTCACAAACAAACAAGTCCACACAATCATACCCAAATTATAAAAAATTAAAAAGGTTGCATTTGAGACTGAAACAAGAATACCTAGAAGGCAAAAACGAAAGGGTTGAGATCGAAAGAAGGAAGAGAGATCTGAGAGGTAAGAAGAATTCAGAGGAGAAAACGAAATGGGAAGGAACGAAGACACGCGTCACAATTTCTCAAAACATATTCGGTAATTTTTTAACTTGCGGGTTAACCCGCCCTTAACCCATTTTAAACCGCTTATAGGCGGGGCGGGTTGAAGCGAGTTGATGGGTTGACATGTATAGTCCAACTCGTCCTGTTTTGGCGAGTTGACCTGTCGGGTTCAACCTATTTTGTCACCTCCAAATGGCTTTTGCTGAATCCAAATTTGGGCTCGTCGCCCATCATATAACGGTGCAACTCTTGAAAGCAACTTCTTTGTCCAGAAACAACTGGTTGAACTAGTGATAAAGTCCCACCTTGTCCAGTGTTACCTAATCAACCCACAAATTCCTCATCATACCTCACTGAGGTAGATCGAGCTGCAGATCAAGTGAACCCAGCATATACAGAGTGGGAAACTCAAGACCAGACCCTCCTCTCATGGCTTATACCACTCTATTAGGACCCATCATGAATAAAGTGTTGGAGTCTTGTTCATTCATGGCAAGTATGGGAGAAAATACACATACTTTCATGGGCTTATAAAATCCAAGGCTAGACAGCTGCGCGCAGAGTTATGTAGCATCAAATTGAAATGCTCACAGATGGCCATTGAATCCCCAAAATCTGATGACGAACAAGTTGAGCTCATACTTGTAGGCCCTTCCCAGCACTATGACTCCTTTATTACCACCATCCATGGAAGAATTAAACATGTGGAATTAGATATTTTCTTCATACGTGAAAAGATTCTTGCCAAACAGCTTAAAGTATCTCATGTTCCAGCCTATGGCCAACTCTCTCTCCTGCCTGCTTTAGTGATATTAGAACCAAACTCATGGTTCTGGATTCAACACAGGTCTCTCCACACTTATGAGTTTGCAGGGGCATATTAAGGACATTATTGTAATTGTATTTTTTGCAAAATTTTATCTGATAGAATAGGATGAGGTGTATATATTCTAGAATGCTTCTTTTCTTTCTCTAAGGTAGAAGGACATTTGAAATCTGATAATGCATTGTTGCAGAACTCTAGATAATTCTGATACTCCATTTATTGGACTGATAGCTGATGGAGCACAACACTAATCTTTCAGCAAATCATTTTCCTTATTTACTTTTTCTCTTTGAATCATTTTACAGGCTTTAAAAGTTGCCCTTGCACAGATTAGAATTTGTTCCAGACTGGAAGGATTATTGCTAAAGAAAAAAAATTTAAGCAATGGAGACTCTCCTGAGGTTCATGCCCAAAAGGTACAATTCTTTCGTTTAAGAGTTTCTTTCGGAAGGGTAGGAGGCAGGAGAACTAGTGGTACAAGGTGTATCATCTTGTATGAAAAACTAATTATATGGAGGAATTAAAATAAGAATGGTTTACATATTGAGTCCACTAAAATAAAGGTTGAATCTCTCATAAACGGAGAGAAACTAAAAAAAATGAGAAAGAGCGTATAGGATTTATAATTTTCACAATTACCCATCTCTAGTTATCACTCCTACCCTCATTAGTCGGGTTTTAATGGGGAGTGGTTTGGTTTGTTAGACCCATCTCTAGTTATCACTCATTTCAATAAAAGGTTATGGTTATTTTTAATTCTATTATCTGTTTTATTCTTCCTATTTACCTGACTTCCGAAAAAGGCAAAAATTAGCCTCTACCTTCTCATTTTCATTTTAATTGTTCCCTCCATGCTTTGTTCCCAAGTATATGCAATCTGTAAAACAATAAAAGTAGTATGTGCCTTAGTTCTAAAGGAGGGAGCATCAAAGCTGATAATCCTATATAAGTCATATCCTTGCTTTTGTTAGGAGAAGGGGGATTGGTAGAACATGCATTTGCGGTTATTCTGTTTTGTTGATGTTGTCAATCTAATTGGAATGTTTGTTTTGATTATATTTTTCAAGCAATTTTTTTGACTGAATGTAGTTCTGTAATATCTTTCTATTGTTTTCTATTTATAGCAATATTATCGTGTTTATAAGTAGGTTGATAAGCTGAAAGTCTTAACGGAATCTCTTGCCAACTCTGCTGCAAAAGCTGAAAAGCGTATTTCAGACAACAGGTAGACTGTCAAATTATGGGATTTTCTGTTATCGTGTTCTCTCTTTTAATTCTGTGTTATCTGAATTCATATTTATACTCATGGAAGAAACATTATTCGTTGAAAGCATTGTATTTTGCATTCTTGCTTTAAAACTTAGAATTCTTTTCAGCCCTGATGTACAAGTCAGTTTTATTTTAGAGTGGCCCCAAATATGCCAGAAGTTTGCCCTCTCTTTTAAAAATTGTATCATTCTTAACTCATTAGAGTATAAGACGTTATCTTACAAGTAAACCATGTGGGAATTATGAGTAAGGGCAGAAGAGGGATTTGTGTGTTGACAACCTTGCCTATGCAGCAAGGATGGTGGGTAGGAAGGGAAAATGATTGGAAGCAAAGAGAAAAGGGAGGGAAAGGTTGGGATAGGACATCAGGTCATTGAGCGAGTCTTAGGGACTTTGGGCCGGGAGGTTTACAGAGCCACAAAGTTTTTCAGTGTTCTGTGTTTTGTTTTCTTGTTTTGTGTTGATTATGATATTTGTAATTGGAGTTTTATCCCTATTTCTCTGTAATAAAATACCTAGTTCCTATCAGTGTATGTTTCTTGGTAGGTATAAGAACATTGCATCATGGCTTATTGGGATCGACTTTTGTGCTCTTAAAAGCTATGAGCAACCTTCTGCTTTTGAGCATGATATAAAATATGTGTTGGTTGCTTTAAAAGTCTTGAAAAAAATATGAATAAAAGCGCCTGCTTGACTTTTTTCTCTTCTGTTCTTAAGAATAGATTTTAAGAATATATTCCTTGTTCCATTGATTATAATTTGGTTCAGATATCAGTCACTAAAAGGTTTTTTTTTTTTTTTTTTTGACAGACTACAAAAAGAGGAGGCATTAAAAGTTCGCGTGACTAAAGGCGATGAAGCTAGTGAAAAGGAGAAGGTAATGTAATAAATATATCTCAAATGGAATTTCTTAGTTGTATTGTGCCTAACTAGGCTGTGTCAATGTAATTAATACTGCAGGGACAATATGATGGTTTGAGGGAGGGGATCCTTGTAGAGCATGTCTGTTTATTACCATCAGTAGTTGTTATATGTAACTTTTCCTTTATTATCTCTATATTTCTTTTTTCCTGTCTCGATAGACTAGATAAGATGGGGATTTCCAGAATGTGTTAATCATTTGCATTAATCACAGAGAGTTCATGTTTCTCGTATTACTCCTTTTACATACATTTATATATGATTTAGAAGGTGGGATCACTGTGCAAGTTTATACATGTATACCTATCAATTGGTTCACCTTTTATTTGAAGGGGAAGGGGAAGGGGAAGGGGAAGGGGGGGGGGGGGGGGGTAGTCACGTTGATTAGGTTTTATTGTAAGATACTCAATTTCTGTGTACATTGGAGCAAAGACCATACTGAAACAATAAACATCTGGTGTGAGTACTAGGTCTTCCATCTGTTGTTGAGTGTTACGGCTCTCGATTGCTCAAGGCAAGGAATTTCTCAGCAAAGGAAAAGATGGGAAATTAGAGGAGAATGTCAATTTTATTGATGAGAAAAACCAAAGAACATACAAGAGGAAAATCCTCTTCACAAAGGACACTCCCCTTCTACTTAGAAACTCTCAGCCCAACTCAATGTTTATCAAAAGCTGTCTATCAATCAGGTGTACCTCCCTTATATACTACCTAGGCTTCTCACATGAGCCCATAACCAACTAACTAGGATTAACCCATCTAACCGGCCCTGTACAATTACTAACGTTTTTAGCATTCTGATTGTTGCTTGGGTATATTCCTTGAAGAATATACCTCCAATCCTTTATATCAAGTACAAGTCGCAACATTGAGGGACAATTGATTTTTTTTTTTCTTTCTCTTGTTTTCAGGAACTGACAGCTGAGATATCTGCACTCCAACAGAAAAAAGATGATCTTGAAGCTGAATTGAAAAAGGTATCAGCTATATCCTTTTAAAAGGGGGGTGGTTGAGGTGATAGTAAGATGCATGCCGAAATGCAATAATGTGATTTTTATGATGTTTTCTATTGGCTACTTGAGGGTGAGCCTTGGAGTAGCAGTAAGGTTACTCCTTTTGACCGGAAGGTCACGGATTCGAGTTCAAGAAATAGTTTTTTTGCAAAAATGTAAGGTTAAGGTTATATACAATCGCAAGTTGGGAAGCCTTGTGCATCGGGGTTTGCCTTTTTTTGTTGGATACTTACAAGTTTCTTTTGGTACGAATATCAGAATTGTGCAGATTATGATATAATTTTTTGAGTGCTTTTCTGCAAATTGAGTCCATTTTGCTCTATAGAATGACTAACCTCTAACCCTGCAGTACCTTCACATTTGTTAATCTTTTTATTTTTTTATAACTTTAGACTGCATTGAAATTCCCAACTGAACTCTCTGCCTCTCACCCAAGATTTTGTTCAATTGCTATTTTCTCTTTATATCTGTTGGTCTTATCTGTAATTTTACTGTTATCTTTAATTATGTGATATTATACTCCTCTACTCCACGTGACAATTTTATATTCTCAACACTCTTCTTTTGATAGTTGAATTAATATATATTCTTGGCCTCACAGAAGCATGGAATAACACTTGCTTGGGGAAATATTTTCTCATTATTGTTAAATATCTTTTAGTTGCTTCGTTTCTACACTCACATGTGATGTGCCACTTCTTGCAACCTAGAGTTACTACTTTTTTTCATCCTTGTGAAATATGCATTGATGTTTTTCCAGAAACCTTGTATTGCCTAGATTTTAACATGTGCCAGATTCTATACACATGAAAGTTGAATTTTGTTCTTCTAGATCAATAAATACTAGTTTATCTTATTGTACTGTCAAAATGTCTCCTCATTTTATTTGCCTGTGGGTAGCTGTTTGTGAAGCCTTTCTTAACTATGATTTATAATTTGAAACCTGGCTTACGAGGTGTAGGTTAATACTTCTTTGGCTGCTGCTCAAGCACGATTATGGAATGTGAGGGAAGAAAGAGATCAGTTTGAGGAAGCAAACAATCAGATTGTTGAACATCTGAAGATAAAGGTTCGAAGTTCTCTTTTTCCTGGCTGGGTATCATGTTAAATCAATGTTGCTTAACACAGTGTTACTCTCACCATCCAGTTGTCTGACATTTTCATTTGAGCTTGATTGACAGGAAGATGAACTTTCAAAATCAATTAGCTCGTGTGGGGTAGAAGCTGATGTTATCAAAACTTGGATTAATTTTCTGGAAGATACTTGGGTTCTTCAGTGGTCAAATGCAGAAATTCATGAGAAGCAGATTAAGTATGTAATTGAACTTACTGAACTTGAGTAATGATGAATGTTTTGGTACCTGTAAGAAGAGTCTAATTTGAGTTATTAGACTCCATGTGTATATATTTATGTACATAAAATGAAGTTTACAAGTGTGTATCAGAAGGCCTAGCCTATAGCCCAACATCGCATATACTCACTCAGTCACTCATCACATATCCTTCAACCAGAAATTAGTAATTATAATTATTCTGTCATTGTTCTTTACTTTTCATGAAGTAGTACGTTCACTAATGCTTACGTTTTTAAAGTGATGAATTGGGGAGACATGAGGACTATTTTGTGAACTTGGTGATTCAACTTCTTACTGCTTACCAGGTATTGATTTTCATTACTGATTCAGATAATGGATGTAAAATGGCAGACTCCTTTCTGCTTCCCCCCCCCTTTTTTTCCATTTGTAATATGACCTGCTTTGTTATGTGCAGAAAGAGTTAGAGCCTTGTGTCAACCATATTGGAACATTTGTTGTGAACCTCAAGAATTTAAGTCAGAGGTAAGATTCTTTGTATTAAATCTGTTGTCTGTGTGGGCATGTGCTCAATTAGTACACATCTGCATTTATGTATAGATATGTATAGATGCATGCATGCACACACACAAGTTCAGAAAATTTGAAAAACAATAAGTATGTGATCAAATGGTTGATATTTCATTTGTATATAAAGTATTAGACTTTGATTTTAAAATGTGTGCACGCATAATTTATTTATCTATTTTCTTAATTTTTCTAGAGGAGACAGGTTAGAGATGACATCCAGTGCAGATACTGAGGATTCAGAAGCATTAAGTCCAAGGAGAAATCTTGAGGAGGAATATTTGGCCTATGAAGCTAAGGTAATGCAACTTAGAGAAATTTTATAATCACTGCCTTGTTCATCTAGCACTTTTCTTATTGATTCTGCCCTACAAGAAAAGTGTTCCTTTCTCTCGGATTATTTATTTTATTAGCTTGGTGGCTTTATAGAAATGCCTTCTATTGTATTGTTGACTATACTGTAAAAACACTACTGAGGTTTTTCATTTTTTCTTTTCTGGTACTAATTTTTGGATTGTGCAAGTTCGTGCTGTCTACTTAGCATAGTAGTCAATAGCAATGCTATTGCACCGCGAGCCGTGCCGGTTGCGCGTTGCGCAGCCCCACCGCAAGAAACCGCTCCACTCCGGAATGCCATTGCGGCCGCATTTGCTGCCAAAAAGCAGCCATTTGCGAACCCTAACCCACTCCTTCACTCCCTCTTCCTGTCTGCCGCTTTTCTCTCTATCATCAATATGTGAGAAACATGTGTGGGTGAGAAAGAGTAAGAAGAGAAGATGCAGAATGTATGTATCCGTTCTGGAGAAAGAGAGAGGAACGTCGTGGAGTCCTCTGCAAGCAAACCTGGTTATTGGAGAGAGAGAAAGAGAGAAACGTCGAACCTCTGGTTATTGGAGAGAGAGAGAAATGAGGAAGAGAGAATCTTCTTTTCCCCTTTCCCACTTTGGAATAAATGTATCCACGTTTCAGATTTTCATCGTTTTCACTTTTTTTTCTGTTATTTAAATTGGCTTTTTTACTTTATGTTTTTTTTTCTATTGTTTTTAAATTTGCAGTTTAAAACTTTTTTCTATTATTTAAATTTAGATTTTAAAACTTTTAATATAATTAATAAAACCTGACAGTTAAATTTCTTTTTATAATTTAAAAAGTTATTATTTTTTTAGTAGTTAATTAAATTGTTAAATATTATTTAAATTGTTACTTAAATTTTATTTAATTTTTGTTAAATGAAAAGCTATTATGTTAAAATTTTATTTTAAATTGTTAAATTGCTATTATGTTAAATTGTTACTTAATTTTTTTTTAAATTGTTTTTAAATTTTTAAATTGTTAATAGTTAATTCAATGATAGTTTTGATAGGAAGACTTGAAATTAATCATAGTTGAAATTGAAAGACCTGTAAATTATTTGAAACAATAAAATATTATTTCATTTTCGAAAAATAATGACTACATACGCATGCATATATATAAGGGTAAATGGAAAATATTTTAGTTAAACCATATAATCAAAGTGATACACATTTAATAACATATAATTAGAGCATTTCTTTATTATTAATGATTTTTATTTTTATTTTTTAGCATATATATGTGTGTTATCTAGGTACTATTAATCTATTCTGCTATTTCCGCAATCGCAATCCGCTATAGCGCTACAGGGTTTTTCAGGGTTGGCCGCAATCTGCTTTTAACTTTTATGCTACTTAGTATGCTTGACAACCAATATATGTTGCATGCTGTATGCTTGATTGTCTATTAACTATGGTAATGGAGTAGTTTAATTATGTGCTTGGACTTATTGGTGGTTTTCTTTCCTTGTTTCAGATTATTACGACCTTCAGTGTGGTGGATAACATGAAAAAGCAGTTTTATGCTCAACAGGGGAAAATTTACAGGTTTTGTGTTTTGTTTCTAAATTACCTAATGGGGTTGCTTTGCTAACTTGTGAATTGGCTAATATAAGTTCAAAATAAATCCTAATGTGTAAATCCAGCTGTAAATTGGAACTTTTCTAGCTGGGTGTGACCCAAAAACACCTGTTAAAAACCATTTTGTTTTATTCACTGTGAAGAACATCTTATCATTTACTGAAACACCAGATTGTCATCAACATCTATAGAAAATTAGCTTTGTCTCAAGCTCCGCTTGCTATATTATTTTCATTTGCCTTTGCTTATCGGGCTTACAAATCCAGGAAAGATGAAGATAGAGTTAAAGAGCTGTTTGATGCCATTGAAAAGTTACGAACACAATTTGAGTCTATTGAGAGACCAATTCTTGAAATAGAGAGCCCGCCTGCAAAGGCTGAAATACCACCTTCTGAGAAAAAGTCAGATGGTACACCCTCGCCTTCTGCTCCAGCTCAAGGTACTGAGCTTTCAAAGCCAGAGACAGATGAACAGCCAAAATCACCTTCAGTTAAGGCAGATCAGGTATTGGACCATGAAGCCGAATTAGCTAAACTGGAATCTGAATTTGGAAAGGTTAGTCAAGATTACTCAACAGAGGAAATTGGTGATTGGGAATTTGATGAGCTTGAAAGAGCATTGGAATCTGGTAGTTAAGCCACAAGCAATTAGGTCAATCTTTTTTCTGATACATGAATGCTTGCTGTTGTATTTTCATAATGAAGCAAGTATTATATAAATTTGTAAGCTAAAGGTCGGCTGTTAATGAAGCTGCAATTTGGATCAGATGCCTTTAAATCTGTAACATTAAAGAGCATGATTTCTTGATTCTTCTGTAAAATATTGAATTTGTAACACGCAGACGCACATATCAAATGATTTGAAATGATCAGTATGGTTGTAAATGTTGAACAGAATTAATTTTGGTGCGTATGGATGGGTGTTGGGATGGGGTACAGGCTCATGCTGATGCTTTACAGTCCTGGAACCATAAACCTGACAACTAGATAAGTTATAGTCTTTAGCCGATTTCCACTTTATAAGTATTGTGCCTTATTTTGTTTTTCCGTCTATTTATATGCACACGAATATATCCTCATGTACCAGTGTTACTGTAAATATTTACCACTGGCCTTTTTGTTCCATTCATAGGGAATGAACTTAGAATTTTGTAGTTGTTACCAATATACTCTTCAATGGTTAATTTTATTTATTTTATTTTTTTTTTTGGTGGAATTTTTTGTTAATATCACTCGTAACAGCAATTAATCAATCTAGCATCCCAAACGGACATATAGAGTCTTAGACCAAGTTTATCTTTAGTCTTGGATGGTTTATCTTTGATTGGGCAATATAGTAGTAGATTTTGTGGTGCAAGACTACAAGGAAATATCGATATTGTAAAAAGGACTACTTTTTATTCAATACCTTTTGATAAGAATATTCAAGTAGGTTAAGTTCTGATCGATAGAGATGAAGTTTCACCAAGTCTTGACATTTATAGGCGAAATAGGATTTAGAAAAAAGTTTGTAATTGCTTGACAGTTGACGACCTAACTTTGCGACATATTCCGTATAAAAGTGACGTCGGAATTAGCATAGCTAGGGCCCTAAAACAACAGAAAGAATAAACCAGTAGGAGGTGGTTCATGATGTTTCAGTGTGTTTGCAAACACTATCTCAAACAAATTGCACATTGGGGGAAAAAAGAGAGGAATGACTAAAGAAAAGGAGAGAGGAGGTAAACCCAAAAGTAGGTAGGAACATGTTAAAGAGGATGACAAACCAAAGTCTCGAGCTTTGCAGGCATTCCGGCCTCAGTTTCCTTCTCCCACCATTATTTGTCGGGTCATTGTGTTGGTTCTTTCTCAACTCAATCTTGTTCAGTGTGTGCATTTACTATACTTTATTCAGTTACAATAGGACTTAAATATTTGAAAATGAAATTAATAAACAGAAAAAGCTAGTAAGTTAGCCCTAAACAAAAAGAGGGAATAATTAGAAAAGAAGGAAAAAGATGCCCATGTTTGTTATCCGTGTACACATAAAGGTTCAGCAGGGGCTTTTCCCAGATGCAAATTATACTAAAAGTGTGTTAAAACAGAACCAGGAATCCGGTTAAAAGTGGAAGAATGTATGTAACGCGTGCAAGGTTATGAGCTCAACCGTTATTTAATAATTTTGGTGCACTGAACTATATCTTTTCTTGTATCAGAATGACTTGTATGAATGAATGCAGAACATATCTTGTTCACTTGCTTGTATCGGAATTTGTAAGTGTTACATAAGATTCCAAAAATGTCTCTTAAATTCATAGACAACAAGCTTTTCCCCGAAAGTACCATTATGAGACTTGAGGACAAATACTCTAGTTACTACCAGGAGATTCCTCTATGTTTTCTTCTTTTAGTTTTAGTCATCAATTTCTAAACAATTGCGAGGTTCATTATAAATATCATTCAAATCCCAAACGCGGCTTAAACTAACACAAACAGAGAGTTGTATTTCACTATCACTATTAAATGGAGGGTTTTTAAACTAAGATATTTTCCTTTTTTTTAAGGTGCGACCACCCATTGTGTTCTATACACTTTTACTTATATCTTGTTAGAAAGAAATCAAATCAATGGCTACGATCATCATGTTATTGTTATACCTTAATTCTAGCTTTCCCTTATGCAAGATTTTGTCATGCCAATTACACTACAGCTAGCAACTAACCTGACTACCTGAGTCACTAATTCCTTAAAGAAACTAAATAATTGAACTGACGCTAGTTACCATTAGCAAAAGTAACATAAAAATAGCAATCCCAATGAGAAATAAGCCACATAGTTTATGTTCGGTGGGTCAGTGCTTCCCCCCATAAGAAAATTATTCAGGTTTTATTTTTACATTTGGATGCTTGCAGACAAGCTCCTTCAATAATGACAAGATAAGAAATAAAAAAAAAAAAGCAATAAAATTAGTGTACTGCTTTTTGAATATGGCATTCTCAGCACTTTTAAAAGCAATATTACTCTTCATTTTTCCATAATAAAAGCTCTGATACCATTAGCTGCTATCCAATATACCTGAGTGGTGGTGTAGTGTGTACCTGAAAGGTTGAAATGGCTTCAACAGTCATAGCATGCGACCCTGCAGATGATGATTACATTGACATGGAAGTAAGCTCATACTCCAACTTCTTCTGCCATTCTTCAAGCTCTCACACACAGCCTAGAGAGTTTGAGTTCCAAATGTCTTCCATCGTTCAAGAGAAAGAAACAACAACTTCCCCAGCTGATGAGCTTTTCTACAAAGGAAAGCTCCTCCCTCTTCACCTTCCCCCTCGGTTACAAATGGTTGAAAAACTCTTACAAAACTCCAACTCTCCCTTTGATAAGCAAAAAGATATCTATGAAGAGTTCTATAGCACCCCATTAGCCACTACTACCTATACAACTCCAATTACAGGCACCCCATTTGAATCCTGCAATATCTCTCCATCTGAGTCTTGCCAAGTTAGTAGAGAACTTAACCCAGAAGAGTATTATGACCTTGACTACCAACCAGATAGAAGTGGATTAGTTGTTGAAAACCAGAAGAAGTCATGGACCAAGAAACTGAAGCAGTCTTCACTAGGTTCAAAGTTGAAGGCTTCAAGGGCATATCTCAGGTCTTGGTTTGGAAAATCTGGTTGTTCATATGAAACCTATGCAACCTCAACAAAAGTTGCCGATGAAGGTTCAGTTTCAAAGGCCAGGGAAATCTTAAATAAGAATGCACAAATGGCAAAGAAAAACCCATATGGCCAAATCCAGAGGGATAGATACCAGTCCTCCAATTCTGTCATGAGCAGCTACAAAGTAAAGACAAGTGAGGATGGAAGTAACCACCACAGAAGGTCATTCTCGGTGGGGATCAAACTGCTTTCAGGAAACAAGACATTATCAACTTCATCTGTGTCAAGCTCATCTGCATTTTCACTTTCAAACAAATCATATGGATGTCAAGCCCGCCAGCTTCTCAAAAGGTGCAGCAGTGCAAATTCAGATATAGAAAATTCAATTCAGGGAGCAATTGCACACTGCAAAAACTCTCAGCAAATGTTCTCTTCAAAGAAGACCACAAGTGAAGTAGGACTATACTCATTGTCTGCATCCAGAACCTCAGTTTGTGAGGATCAAGAAAGAGAAGCACTATGCAGGGGTTGAAAGGGAGTTAAAAAGTAGCTTTACTTATGTTGTCTTCTTCATTCATTGTCTTTCCAATTCTAAAGTAACTTTGATGAAAGATAGCTCTAATTCACTGGTACAAAATTTTTAGAAACACTCATGGTTGTCGCGGATATTAGCATCAAAATATGTTTGAAGTTTGTCTACATAAGGAATTAACTTTTGGTCCTTAACCAAATTATGATGAGTAGAAAATAAGATTCTTCTGAAAATAAAAATCCAATATTGTACTGTACTATCCACTTTCCTAGCCAAAACCTTCCCTCAATGTTTTGTTTTATTTTTAAATGATTTTGAACTCTATCAACTTAACACTGACTCGGGTTTTAACCTGCTTGCATAACAATCAATTAGTGTATTATGATAGGGATCACTATATATATCAAGCATTTTCCTATAGATTTTAACATATAAGGATCTGTGAAGAGAAGAATACATATTAATGTATAACTTCTGTAGAAATCTCACTGCTTCTGAATGCTGTCAACTATATCAGGGAAGGGAACCGATCATTGTTTACTTTCCACTAGCAGCAAGCACTAGAATGTCTGATACTTATAATTTGGTTCTGTTTTGTATAATTCCTTTTATCAATCATAAAAAAGAAATTATTTGTACGAACCTAATGAGTGAAAGAGTAATGTAGACCATCTTTCGTAAAGCTATCTACTAATGTAATCACAGGCTCAGTGTGTCAGGGAATGCTAATGTCAGCTTTGTGTTCAAATGATGGCAAGAAAAAAAAAGAACCAATCTTTTCATGGCATGTGTTAATGAATTTTATTTGCTTACCTGTTAAGTCTAATCCTCTAATATGCCATTAATTTTATGAGCCACGATTCCACAAACACTTATTTAATGAATTAATGAAGAGTAAATATTCTTTTGAATCCTAAAAAAAAAACACGAAATCTATTTTAATCCCTTAGAAAAAGAAAAGTCTGGCTTGTGGTCTCTCTGAAATTTCAATTCTTTGAAATTGTGGTCCCTCTGAAATTTAAAGAAGACCCATATTAATCCCCGTAAAAGGGACCCGTATGGGTACATGAATACGTAATTGTCAATTTGTCATATATCAATTTTCCGAATAAATAAATATCTTTTAAAATATATTTTAGTTAGCTCCCTGATAATCATCAAAGATGGAGATTAACAATGATCATGATTGTGGAAGCCCACATGTCTTCCTTCCTCGGTAACTATAACACATTTGCCTTTACTTCCTCTACGAAGAAAATTTCTGGATCATTAAAGTAAAGCTTATTCTATAATAATGGAAAAAGCTTCTAAGAGCAACCGAGAAAGAGAGGAGAGAAAAAAAAGAAGAAGAGAAAAGATGAGTTAGGAGGAAGTTAACTTCATACGTAAAAGAGAGTATGTTAAAATAATCACACTTGAAATATAAAGAAATGCTTCGGGGCAGACAAAGTGACAAACACCTTTTTAGGTGGTTTCGATTTTGATTTCTTTTTAATTATTTGAGAGGGTATACCAATCCTTAAACTAAGTGAAAATGTTACCAGGTGTTTGACGGACGACTTTGGAGCTAATAAAGAAAGAAAAAAAGAAAAATTGTGAATAAATTTGAAACAATGCTAATGCCTTCTCCGAATGGTTAATCATAAATTTTGAATTTTAACATAATATCTTCCCCTTATATGAGAACTTCATCATGATACCTTCTGATTTAATTTTCTCCTCGAGGAGAGGGAGGGGTCTTCATAATTTGCCCTATTTTTAAAAGGATCTGTTATATGTCAAAACTTCGAGGGAAGTATTTCGCTCATAGAAAGAGGGAAACATATTTACTAAAAGCATAAGCTATTACAACAAGTACACATCATAATTTCCATTTCGCTTTCATGTGTTTATGAGTTTGTGTATGTGTTTCTTTATAATGCAAATAGGGCTTTTAGTGTTAATGTTATTGAAATCCAAGCTACTCGTCAAGTTAAAGAAAGAAAAAAAAGGAAATATACAAAATGAAAAATCCGAGCTAGTCCTAACATTTCATGTTTCAATTCGTTCTCATGATTTAAATGGTAAGAATATTGTTATTATTATTATTATTAATGGGGCATTTAACTTGAAGCTTACGATCTGGTGCAACAAAAAGCTTAAATAGCCCACCTTGTTACAACCATCCTACTGCCCCACGTTTAGTCCCAACGCAACTCTTCATTTTTCTATATGTATCCATTCAATTTATTCCAACCTGTATATATTACTAATTGTAAACCTTAGCTTTCATATCACGAATTTATTAACAATTATTATAAATTTACAATTAACATATTACTATTTACTAGTAACGAAAAAATTCAGCAACAAACTAGGATGGCATGGAAGGCATACTTTTATAATATATTAGTACATAAATGGAGAAGAATTAAAGCAAAGTTCGAATAATTCTTCTGACAAATCACAACTGGGATTAAGATACAGGTGCTTACTTAGGCCCTGCAGTGCACCACTTAACAGTTATAAACTGATGACCAAGGCTTCATTGCAATTTGTCATGATCCTACAGCATCTGCAGCAGCTAAGAGAATAAACAGAACTGTACAGTGTACACAGAGTTTCTTAGTGAACTCTTTTAAGGTATTAATGTGAAGAGCAACTCTAAACACCTGTAATCTTTTTCACCATATAATTTGGTCTTCCATGATTCCCCAAAGGTTATAAGTTCAAAATCAAAGCGCATAAATTCGATCAACCTCGGAATTGGAGAATTCAGAATGATGCCATGAGTTGGATCCACTCCTCCTGGTCTGCTTGTCCTTCTTCCTCAGTGACCTGCTTCTCTTAGACCTCACTACATAGTAAGTCATAGTGCCAATAACCCCAGATATTATCACTCCTCCAACTACTGTAACCAGAATTGCAGCCCACTCATTCTTCCGACCCACCACTATATAAGATGAGGCAATAAATGCCACTGAAGTACATACAGAGGCCAACCACATCAGCTTGTTGATCACCTCTACCACCCTTTTCTCTGCTTTAGTTTCACCTCTCACCAAGGTAATTTGAACAACCACAACAGCCAAAGATGTAAAAAGAGCAATAGCATTAAAGATGAAGAAGATTTTAAAAGCAGCATAAGCAGCCACCACTCCTGAGCCATTATCATTATCTCCACCAGGCACGGTGAATATAGCAGCAAAAGCAACTGTGGCAAACAACACAGCCACAACTGTCACTGAGTTTGTGGCATTGTTAATTCCTTCCCTGTGGAGTTTCCTTAGCTCTTTGGAAATATTATGAACATTCTTGTTGGTTCTCTTGGTTTGTTCAAGCTGGGTGTGAACATCTTTCTTTATTTGAGTAACAGTTTTCCTCAGTTCATCCCTCGGTTGGTTGAGCTCGTTAGCTCTAAGTGCCCCGTATCGAGAAAGGCATTCTTTTATATCTGACGACTCTTCAGAGAGGGGAAGATCTTCAGCAATGTCAAGAGCTGTTTTGTGGTCTCTGGTTAATGCATTAACGTTGGTGTCTGGCAGGAGTAATAATTCATTTACTATCTGCAGGAAATTGAGAAACCACAATATTAGAATTTTCATTTGGCAGAAGTAATAAATGTTTAAAAATAAGAAGGGTTTTGTATGTATGTATGTATGTATATTAAGAAATCAGCAGCTTCATTTGCATTTATAGCAGTATATCATATTAGTACCCTAGGTCCAACACCGGAGACTCATGTATCCTACGTCTAGGGAATAGGCATATTTAGCCATGTGGTGTAAGTCTCATCTGTTCAGGTAACTTAATTTGTATTGCCTCACGTATAGACGTATGGTAATTTTAATGCTGTGCAACTGTTGACATACCTCTACTCGCTTTTTCCTGGTTGCCACATGTAATGCGGTGTTACCAAATTTGTCAGGAAGCATAACAATAGCAGCATCTGCCTCAAGAAGCAATTTCACAACATCACAACTCTGCCCTTTTACAGCCATATGCAAAGCAGTTTGTCCTTTCTTGTCAGTCCTCCGAGCCAATTGTGGATCTTTATTGAGCAAGGCTTTTACAATCTCTACATGACCCTGACGAGCAGCTAAATGCAATGCATTTTTGCCATTGGATTTAGCGATTTCCAATAAGCTACAATCCTTTGACAGCAGTTCATTCACCACTTCTGTGTGCCCCCTTGTCGCAGCAGATATAAGTGGAGTGGCATTGGATGGACCAATTGTTTTGCTTAATCCTGGGTCATAATCTAGTAAAACCTGAACAATGGCTGCAAATGAAAATTTAACATGGATTACAGTGAAGCACAGAAAACAAAGTACTCATATTAAATTACATTAAAGACATAAGAACATCCTACAGACCTACACCAACAAATTGAAGCTACTCATTACAAAGGATTAACCAAAAGCTATCAAGGTCTAACAGTTAGAACCCAAATAAGCCAGCATTTAAGTTAAGAAAGCAAACAAAGATTGGTCTATCTCAAAATAACATAACTCCACTGGTGATGAAAAAAACAGTGACATCATACACATCTCCGCTCTCCTACTATTCTCTTGCTTCGTAATTTTCCTCTCAAGGTTTCCATTAAAAGCATAATTACTGATTTTCTTAAATTGATACCTTGAGAGACGTAACTGCTCACACAACTTGGTAAATAACAAATCTACTCTCATAAGCTTAAGTTCATCCACTTGGTTCAAACCAATGACTACAAAACTGACTCCAATATCCTAAAACCACTCGGACCAACCATTTGGAGAGAATCAAATTAGCTAAATCTCATCATCAGAAGAAGCCAAGTAAATAAATAAAAAAAATTAAATGAAATTGCTACCTAATTAAGGATGTTCCTAGGTCAAAGCAACACATAGAATAAAAGAAGAGAGAGTTGAGTTGAGTTGAGTTACCATGTTGGCCTTGAGTAGCAGCGATATGCAAGGGATCAAAGCCAGATCGGTTCTTCTTGGAAACCGTGTCTATGGTTGAATGTTTCAATAATTCCTTGACAACATCAAGGTGACCCTTTTCAGCAGCAGTGAACAAAGCAGTTTCTCCAAGCTCATTCTCTTCATTCACAACACAAGCACGCACTTCAGCAATCTCAGCGTTCAGATCAACATCATCACCACTCAGTGTTCCCATAATCTGAGAATCGATGTCAACAAGGATCTGCTTCACAGCACCAACATCACCCCTTTGAGCTGCAAGGTGTAGCTCAGTGTCGTTGTGCCTTCCCGTAACCTGCTTCACGTACTTCTTCTTCCCCGCCTGATCTATTCGCTTCCCGGAGTTCGACAGCACCAGAGCCGGCGCCGTCGCAGACGACGGAGACGGCGACGGCGATATCTCAGAAAGTGGGTTCTGAGTTGGGGTCATGGGTCCCTTTTCGATGTCCCTTTGAGGTTGAGCTCCTACAGATTAAAAGGGTCATCAAAAAATGAAAAATTTATAGCAAATATATGAATGAAATTTACAGTGAAATAAAATAAAAAATAAAATAAAAGAAAGAACCTGGTTGGTTGAAGAGGGAAGCCATAAATAAGAATGGATGTGTTATGTATCTATAGCATTAAGCAACGACTGAAAGCAATAAAAATAACGATGATTGAAGAAGCAAAATAGGAAGAAGAAGAAGAAAAAGATAGAAAGAAGAAAAGAAGAGTGGAAATTGAAGTAAAGACAGACACAAATAATAGAAAAGAGTGACAGAGGAAAGTAATCGGAAAGAGCTGAAGTTGGTGAATAACACATGATGCAGTTTTTCCTTTTCTTATTCTTATTCATTTTTTTTTTAATAAAAAAGTATGGATGATTGAAATCTACTCATTTTTCTAAAATATTCGACTTTAAATTTCTTTAAAAAAAAATAATGTATTCTGAATTACAGCTTTTAGGCAATTATATCTTTATTTATTTATTTCTGAATAGTTTAAACACATATTATTAACTAAAAATAATAATAAGTATCAAAATATATATATATATATATATATATATATATATATATATATATATTTGGTAAGCTAACAATACATATATTCTATTAGAAAGTATTTTCACTCTGATTTCTATTTTTTCAGTATTATAATTAAATATTTTATATTTTAAAAATTATGAAATAGATAAAATTATAAATATTTTTATTCTTTTCTCAACATTATTTTTAAACATTTTTTATTTCTTATCATATTTGTAATTTTGGAGAGGTTATACTTACAACTTATTTTCTTTTACAACCTCTTACAACCAATATCTTAACCGTTGATTTTCGTCAATCAATAGTTAAGATTTATTGTGAATTAATAATTATTTAATAAATTTTATTTACAAAAATCTTAACGGTTGATTGACGAAAATCAACGGTTAAGATATTGGTTGTAAGAGATTGTAAAGAAAGATAGATTGTAAGTATAACTTTTTCCTTGTAATTTATTTCAAAAAATTATTATTACTATTATTACCATTATTAATTGTTTTATTTTAATAGAAAAATACGCATTAAACAGCACTTAATGTGACTGAATAAGTTGGTAATTAATAGTTTAAGAATATTACTTAATGCGGGCAGCATTTTCCCTTTTGCAAATGACCCAATCTTAGCCTCCTAGGTTGGTATCATTTGTTATTTCTGGATTTTTTTTCATTCGAAAGTAAAAATTTATACTTTATAAGAAAAAATATAGAGTTATAACTTATAATCCATTATTGTGGAGGAGTTTTATTTGTGTTGTTTTGGCATGTAGTGTCAACGTTCTTGTGTTTGTCTATACACTCAATGATTTATTATGTGATTGTATGGTATATGTCACAACTTGAATTCGGGAATAAGAGAAAAAATCTAATAAATATAATTGTTTCCATAAGTAAATATTTTTTTCATCTAAATATAGTTATAAATTAAGAGTTTAATATTTTTTATGTTATAAAAAATTATTTTATCTCCTACATATTTAAAAATACATGGAATTTATATGAGATCATATAAAAAAAAGAGTCTCATAGCCGGCTCAAAGAGTCGAAGCTCGTGGGGATACCGGAGGGAGCCAACTCGTCTCAAAGAGATAATTAGAGTTGGGTAACTCCAAAAAAAAAAAAAAATAAATAAAATAATCAAAATATAAATTTTATATATTTTTATATGACTTTAATGTTTCTACAGTGAATATAGATAAGTTATCTACATTCGCTCCCAAAACGACGTCATTTTGAATTGAAGAATTAAAAAATTATAATAAAAAAGACTATTATAATCTTAGAATAAATTATAATTACAAAAATATCTTGATTTTTGTCTCAAAATTATGTCGTTTTGGATTCAATGTAGATAATTTATCTCCATTGACTATAAAAAAATGAACCTTTTTTATATATATGTAAAATATAAAAATATTTTCCTAACATGAAAAATATTCAACCCACATTTTTTTCATTAAAGGATTACACTTGTTTTCTACAATCTGAAAATGACTCATTTACACGGGTTTGTCTATGGCAGCCGTCACTGTGGACTCTATATTTTATTTTGACACGTGCCTTGACTGAAGAGTTGACGACATGATTCCATGCTTCCCGACTTTTAAATAGGAAAATGCCTCGTACACGTAAAAAATAATCAAAAATTTAAAATAAGTTATATGAACCAAAATTAAACAAGAAAAAATTAATGTAATGATTATTAAGGAACACTTAATCTTGAAAAATAAGAAAATGAAAATATTAAAAATGATTACACTATATAGAAAATATTTATTTCATCTAATGACAAATGTAACTTTATTAAGAAATTTACAGAATGGTTATTTTCTTTTAGTTAATAAGTGATTAATAATTATAAATAAAATTTTATATAAGATATATGAAATTAAGAAGAAACTATAAATGACCATAGCTTGTTCCCCCATCTTGTGTATTTGAGAATTTGGAGGGAAATAGAAGAAAGGAGATTAAGAGAGAGGGGAAGGAAGGGGAAAATAATAAAGGATATTACTTTTTCCCTGTTTAAGAGTTTAAAATATGATAAGGAAAAAAAATAAAGAGTTAATTTATAATTTTTCTTTTTTTAAAAAACCTAATATACTTGCAACTTATTTTTTCTTATAATCTTTTACAATTATTTTTTTTACCGTTGGATCAAAAATCATATCTACAGTTATAAAATAACATCAAGTGAGAATCGTTGATTTGATTTTGATCAAATGGTAAAAAAATGATTGTAAGAGGTTGTAAGTATAACCTCATTCTTTTACAAATTAAATTAAATTTAAAATTTCTAAAAAAATTATTTACGTAATTTTTACATTTAAAAAATGATTCTCTTTCTAAAATAATTATTTCCTTTTCTCTATAAAAATTATTTTTTTCTCTAAAATTATCTATTTCAAATTATAACCAAATTATAAATAACATTTATAAAAGTAAATCACTTATCTCAAAATAATGCAATTGGAAACAAAAAAAATAATTTCATCAAATAATTTTAAGAAAGTGAGAAAATAAAATAAAAATTAAAAAATGGAGTAAAAGCACGTACGTAATTTACAATATTTCTCTCTCAGAACGCCAAATTAGAGAAACTTCAATTTTAAAGGTAAGACTAAGAAGGATGTTGGAGGAATTTACAAAAATTTCCTATTTTCTTTTCCCATTTTTTTAAAACGCACGCATAAGAGGAAGACATAAGTAAAACCTTATTCTTTTTTCCCTCTCCCTCTTAATATTGGTTCTCAAACACACTCCAAGAGTTTGTTTGGTGGATAGGATAAGATAAAAACAGACAAAATAAGGGTGTTAGATAAGAGTAGAAAAATGATAAGAGCTTGAAAAGCTCATATCTTATCTTATGTTTGGTGAGCATAGGACAAACAATATTATATATATATTTTTAAAATTAATTTCTGAACTATTTTTTTTTCACTTATTCATACGTTAGTTATTACTTTTATTTTTTAAAAAATTTAAAAATAATTTTAAATAAAATATATTCAAAAACATATGGCATCACCAAGCTTCGCATCTTTTGCACTTTCCTCTTTCTCCTCTTCCTAATCATCATATTCTTCCTCTCATTAACAATAATGGGTCAGGGTTGTGGCTCTTCTGAACTCGCATTGCATAGAACTAATAGAGTTAGTTGAAAAATCCATGCTTTTGCAAAAACTAGAAGACACAATGGGAACACACAACATCACAATCTTCGCACCAAAATATGAAGCTCTTGAACGAGATCTCGACCTTGATTTCAAACGCATCCTTCTCGATCACGAAACCTCATGTCCCTTCAAACACTTGCATCGATCGAAAATTCTGAGACAAGTCAAAAACAACAATTCACCATATTCAAAAGAAAAAAAAATCATGGAATGTGATGATAGCAACAAACGTGCTTCTTGTGTGCCATGCTAATACGTACTTTGGTATCAAGGGTTCGTCGACGATGATGGTAGCCAGTAGCAGTAACTGGCCGGTGAATTAATGGCGTTGACTTCCTTGTTATAGGAATGGATCTCAGGTGCTCAACGATGTTCCTAAGAGGCAAAGGATTTTTTCAGGAAAATTTTCCTTTTCCTATCCTGTTTGACTCGGAACAGGGACCAAAGTGATTATCACACTCTCACGTCAACGGTAAATTTTGCCAAAATATCACGTGGCATATTTCGTTACATTGTGTAGCGAAATATGTGTGCAAATAATTCGCTACACAGTGTAGCAAAATATGTCACGTCAGACTGCTCAGAACCAAAAATACCATGTGTCAAAATTGAAGAAATTCGCTACATAAGGTAACGAATTTCTACAATTTTGACACATGACATTTTTGGTTCTGACGTGGCATATTTCGCTACACTGTGTAACGAATTATTTGCACACATATTTCGCTACACAGTGTAACGAAATATGTCACGTGACATTTTGACAAAATTTACTATTAACGTGACAGTCTGATAACTTTTTTGACCAACAATGACAAAATGATCACTGTTCCGTTTGACTCTAACCCAGCTCCCCCCAAGTTAAGACCTGAGTGTAGAATAATATGGGTTAATATAACTTTATCCTATCCTACTCCGTTACCAAACAACGAATAAGAACGGAATGGGATATAATATCTTATCTTACTCCCCTTGTTCTGTACCCCAAACGACACAATGAGATGTTGACTTCACATATCATTTGGTAGTCAAACTAAATCATCCGACCCAAAATCTCTTCTCGTAACAAAAAGTACAATAAGAGATGTGTTTAATATCAATTTAATATCCGATGACTTTGATATTGTTTTTAAACCACATGTGGTTATAAACATTCTTTACGTATTTTATACGTATTACAAAAAAAAACCTACTACTTTCAAGAAATAAATCAAGAAGAAACTACCAAACAATAATGTTTTTATGAAAATATTAAGAAATTATCTACATTAAATTCAACATTTATGATTTTAATTAGTATAGTTCACTATAGTCCAATACTCCTAAAAATGTCGCGAAGAAATAAATAAAAAAGTTCCTAAAAACATACAATGCGAAAAGATCTTCATACAAGGAATAAGAGTCAAGCAGAATTTCCATCGAAGTTGACGAGTACTAAGGTATATATATTCAGATACGTTGTCAGACTTAAATGCATTGCAACTGACATGAATACCTAGGTTTGAGCATGTAGGCTTCCAGAGTACCAATCTTCCAGTTTGGCTGGTTAGGATTACGGATGGCTGATTGCGTTGTTTAAGACCAACAAAATAACGAAACAAATAAAAGATCGTGGATATCGAGAGAGAGAGAGAGAGAGAGAGAGAGAGAGAAGGAGGAGGGGGGTGGGGGGATTCCTGAAATTTAGCTGTTCAGAAGGCCACATTAACTCGCTGGATCCTACAGATGGAGCCTTCAAGGGGTTAAATCAAATGCATCTACAAGTATTTTCCTTTTTTTCTGGCTATGAGTATCTAGAAGACTAGAATAATTTAGAAAGCTGCAATATCATGATGAAAGTAATTAATAGAAGTAATTCACTTGACAATAAAGTTAAGCCTTCACACCCATTTGGTGATTTCTATGCTCAGGATTTCAGTTGTTATAAATGACAGATACCTAAAGCATAGAGCCACATCAGGATAAATCAAATCGAACAACAACACAAGTGATGTTGTCTGAGCTTCCTCGTGCATAAGCTTCTTTAATAAGTTCTCTGGATGCCACTTCTGCATCTGTGATATTTTGTACTATAGACACGGCTTCCTGAAAAGGTAGGGACGACATAGTCAGATGCTCATGTTCCGTCAAAGATTTGTTACCAAAATTAACGACACGATATTGCAGGCGGGCCTAAGATGTTAGAATTCATATAGGTAAAAAATAACCAAAAAATCGAAAACCCAAATTTAAATTATTACAAATCCCTGTTCCGGATGAAGAATCTACAGTGCTTCAAAATTGCCTGTGTAATAGATTCATAGAGGACAGTATGCTATGCTGCACACACCTGATTATTTAGGAAAGATCAAAAGCTAACTCAAGTCCAACTCTCCAGGGACTATAGCCGATATCTAACAAATAAATCCAGGATAGATGAAAAAACACCCGTTCATCCTCCTCTTAAAATCAAGAAGCAAGGCCCTTGAAAGCTGCTTCTATTAACTAGTTAATAGGAGTGCGTATGCAGAACAAATTTTAACATGTAAATGTTTTGAAACTTAAAATGATCAATTTTGCTCACTGTGAAAATACTACACAATTTTGGCTGGTTGTCACATAAAATCGTATCAATTACGAAACGTGGCTTTCAAATTGCATGTATATTTGCACTAGCAAGGTTGGATGTTAAAAGACATACTACAAAGACAGCAAGCATGAAGACTATCAAGCACAACAGTAGAGATCCATATACCAAGTTCACTAAAAACGCCAATAAATGAAACATGGAAATATGAATAATAAAAAAAATGTAAACCACTCATACATTAATATATAATGGAAAATATCTAGCTCAAACATTAACGAATAAATGCTTCAAAAATTAACAAAAAGGAAAATAAATCTATGTTGGGGTCTACATTGACCATTGAATGTAAAGTTTAAGATCATCCATTCTCAGCAAAGTTAGATCAGCTTGGTACAAAGTAGTCAGCCGAGAATGGAATAACTCCAAACAAAAATTTATCAAAGAACTTTCAAACAAGAAACCGAAATAAGCAAAAAAAAAGTTCACAATATCACATTTCTTCTAAAAATCAAGAAAAAGGAAAATAAATCTATGTTGATTAGGGACAACTTTAACATGTAAGATAGTCTCACCTGGTTTGATATGACATTCCACAAACCGTCGCTAGCGATTATTATAAAATCTACACCATCAATTTCTTCCTCCTAAGCCATAACAGTACCAATAAGAGGGGGAATTAGCGGACATAAGATATATAATAACACAGACATAGAAAATGGGTGGTCCAGTTTATGATTTTAGACAACCTGAATTTCTGGGTCAGCAACAACATATGGCTTAAGAAGTTTGTCTCCAAATGCACGGGAAACAGCAAGAACACCACCAACCCTCCATGTTCCTGGATCAACCAGCAGTAGAGAAATAAGCAAATTATGAACCCAAAAAAATGGCAACACCCATACAAGATGAAACTTACCTGCCCAAATTATGAATCCCCCAGCCTGTTCAATCCGTTGGCGTTCATCAGATCTATCAGGTTTGTGATCAATAGACAAAGGAACAGCTACAGTAAAACACATAATTCATGTAAGTGAAAAGAAGAAAAAAGGAGGACAGCGGCAGAAAATTATATTGCTTCTTGAGATGTTTTGTATCATACTAGCATAAGCCATTTGCAATGAATTTTCACTATATATTTGAAAAGCATAACACCCCACAACTTAGCAAAATGAAGTAACCAAAAACCAGCGCTTGACAATGTACCACAGGGAAAGGAAATATGCTGCATATTCCCTCCATTCACCATCGTATTAAAAAAATGCAGATCCTCCCCAACATAAACCTAATTCTTCCCACACATAACTGACATGGCACCAACCTGAACCAGCTCTACATGCAACTACTCTGGAATCACCAACATTAGCAACAAGAATTCGCTCCCCCAACAATACAGCTGTTGATGCAGTGGACCCAGCATCCCTATGATGCCCCTTTTCCTCATTGAGGTAATCAACATCTGTCTGTTTAAATGCTTCAACTGCAATAAGACAAATATTTAGACGGAAAATATGTTCATATTTAGACCATTTAGGTATCGAACCAAACAAAAATGATGTGATATGAGAATTTCACTTCAACTTATAATTTAACATAAATGAAGTTCATACCAATAGCGGTCTTTGTGTCTTTGATAAAGTCAGGATGGCTACTCAAATTCTTAAACAGATTATTTTTCAGGTATTCTGCAGTCCGGGAACCTCCATGACCTAAAGAGATAAAAATACATAAGTTTGAAGAGATGCATTAAAAGGATGTGTCAGTAAGACATAACATAGATTTTTTTCAATTTTAATTGGAATTGAAAGCCATGATCTGATCAACCTACAAAAGTCTTGGGGTATTACAATTTGCATGCTCCCTCTTTGCTGTATTGAGCACTAGTGACTTCCTATTGATTTGCATATAGTCTTTATGTTGAGTAATTTGATTCTTTCTCCCAATTTTATAAGAATCCTTGTCTAATTAGGAATGATGAGCCTTGTCTTCTGCTGATGTGCATATTCCTTTTCCTCCGTAAAACCTTAACCAAAACCATCCTACAAGTTCTATTTCTGCTGCTGTCTAATTATCCAAAGAATGAATATCAAAAGAACATCCTTCATACGGATTTCTGGTGCTCAAATCTGTCAACCCTAAATTTCTAACCTAATAGCTGAACCCTAAATGCCTTTCTTAACAAATTCAAAACCCACCCAATCACTTTAGAACTGTAAAAGTCCGCCATAAACCCAAAACAGATTGATAAAAGCTCTTCTAAAGTGAGTATGTCTATAAAGTGAACAAGCATATAACAACACTTAAATTTTAGTAGGTTAAGATTATGATACACTTTAAGTTAAATCAACGGTGGATACACCCTTACTTGCTCACTTTATAGACAAATTCACATTTAAACTAGCCTTATCCTAGTAAATTGATTCTATGACAAAAAGAATCTCCCCAATATAATAATAAATCAATAGCAAGGACAATAAAGAGAGCAGATAAGTTATAAAAAGGAAAAAGGATCACCAGCTTTTAATTGATATGCCTGACTAGCAAACATCTTACAATAGCATTGTAAATTGGCTAAATTAGTAAAACCATTAAAAACAAAACAAAAAAAGATAAAGGATTAATTTTAAGGCATACAAAACAAAACCATACACATACCATCAAAAACACCAAAAAAGGCAACCATCTGACCATCAACCTCTGATATTCTGGTCTCAAAGAAATCCTCCATTGAAGACCTTTTACCCTTGAAACTGGAATATCCATAGCTGAACCTTCCATTTCGACCTCCAGAGAGAAAGCTAGAAAGAAATAATCGCACTTTAATCATTTTCAAATTTTAAATATTTGAGAGTTGGAAGGCCAAAACATAAAGAGGAAGCTCCAAACAAATTATAACTAAATTTCACAAATCCGAGGTTTTTTTTATGAAGTTTAGTAAAAGAGTTTCTATTGACAGTAAATAAACATAAAATTTATGTCATTATAACACTTTTCCAAGTAAATCTTCAGTGCTATCATAGTCGGTACTCCAGAAATAAATGAGACTCATGTGCCATTAACCATAAAGGAGCGGCAAGAATAAATGCAGTTAGATATGTCATTTTAATCCAATTTTAGTAGGTGATGTACTGAGTCTTTAGTACTATGAGAGTAGTGAAGATATTTTCCACTTCTCCATGATATCTGTCATGTTCAGACAAGATTACATCGCATAAAGCTCAAATAGCATTTAACGGGGGTGAACATTTCCCAAAATTACCTAGTACATGGTCTGTATTTTTCTTCATTTGAGCACCCTAAACTTCTAAATTTTTGACAATGAACCTCCATCATTGTAAAACATCTAAGTATCCATACTTCCTGTATAAGGAATAGATAGTTATAGAGATTTTGGCTTTCTAAGAATCAATTCTTCTGTTTTGGGACTTGTCTTTGAATAGGTAGTTACAAAGTTTAAGCATAAGGTGGTAAGAATAGTTGGTGGAAGGGTAGAAGTCTCTTGGAATTATATTAAACAGTATTATAATAAAGACTTCCAAGAAATAGAGGGCTCAATTTATTGAGAAGACGCATCTCTAACTAACCTGTTTGAATGGGTTTCTATGTGGTCATCCACTGAGAGAAATGTGAGGAACAGATAACTTAAATTGCAGAATACCATTGTAATATCCTTGATGTGAACCCCAATTTTCTTCATATTAGTTCCTTTGAGCTATCTCTCAGGATAGAAGAATCCCATAGCCATAAGGCTATGTTTTAAGGAACATTTTAAATTATGTATGTATTTATTAAAAAAAAAAGTCAGCACGGGATTTGGCTGAACTCAGTCAATCATGAATAGGTGGAATATTAACGAAAATATACAAAGTTATTAACAAGGATATTAGCTTTACAAAATAAAAGGCTTAGTTAAAAGGAACTACTTGTTAGGGGTAAAAAGGCAGAAAATGGAAAATAAATGTTATCCCAAATTCCATATTTCTCTAAATCCTTCAGCTATGTCGTAAGAAACAGAAGTTTCCACACAGGCACAGCCAAATAAAAAAAATGGGGCAAACCTCAGTGCATATATGCTTCCTGACTATGCAAAATTAGGGGTTAAGGTCGATTGTACCCGATCTTACCTTGGTATTTTTACAAAGAGGCTGTTTCCAATTTTTACAAAGAGGCTGTTTCCTAGACTTGAACCTGTAATTTTTCGGTCACAAAGAAGTAACCTTACCACTACTCTAAGGCTCACCCTTAGGCTCAGCTAAATAATTTGATACAAATTTGAAAGGGCATTTTCATGAGCATGAAATGCTTTACAAATAAATACTAGCATCACTTTAAAGTATGTATTAAAAGGATAACAAGAACCAGTACTTTAAATTTTAAACCCCAGCACTACCCAGCTAGAACAGGCTGCCATGTGGGTGTAAAGAGAAAGTTCAATTTTTTTCAAACATGTCCGTTTTCTCTTTCTTTTTCTTTCTTTTTAATTTACAAATTAACATCTGATGAAAAATTGTAACATAATAAATTATAATTTAAAAGAAAAGTTCCTTAAAAGTAGCAGTGAGTGTGAGTGGTTGGTCTTTGTGGTTAGTTGTAATGACAATTTTGTAAAAACAAAACACTGCGCTTAAAGTAAGCGCAAAAAGACACCATGTGGGGGGAGAATCCCTTTATAATAGTAAGCACAACAATATAGAAGCGCGCATAAATATATAAAGGCAATATCTAACTAACAGTAACATACATATAGAAATTAAAAATTCCTTTCCCCCACATTTTTCAGAAGCTTAAATATCAAGAAGGAGAAGACCCAAATGCCAATCCTTCAAAAGTTAATATGAGATAGGCACCTACCTTAGTCGGTATAGAAGTATCATATCATATCATGTAAACGTATAATTGTTAACCGAGGACATTCTATAATGTAATAAGCTATGATTGCAATTTACAAACTCGTCCGTATACCCATTTCAGGAATCAGTTATCTTAATTCTCTGCTCGCGTTAAGAACTCATGAATTCAATTTATCTAATCACACTAATCAATTAATTTCTGAGCAGATATTTTCTAGAAACTGTCTACGACAATGATGTGCGGAATAAAATCAAGTCACAAACGATGCCGTTCATCTCGATCATGAATTTTCCGGAAAAAAAAAAGGTTCAATACAAACCCAAAACGAACAGAAAATCCAATAGAAAGAGCAATAGCCTCGAAAAAAAAGGGAAACTCTCTCAATCAAGAAATCAATTAAAATAACCACCTGATGCCGCCACCGCTGAAGAGAGAATCGTGATCCCTGGAGGACATCACAATGTTTGGTGTTGCCGGCGGTGCTGGCTTATCTTCATTGGAAGAAGCGGAGGATTTTGCTTCGGTGGCGCCGACGCCGGCTCCGATGGCCGCGGTGGCTGGTTCTGCAGGGTCTGTGTTTGAGATCATTCTACCATGTTCAGTGTTTTAATTTCTCCCTCTTATTTTATTTTATTTTATTTTCTCTTTCTTTTGTAGTTTTGTACTGTCTTTCTACTTTTTATGTCGTTTATTTCGCTATTTCTTTTCTTTTTTAGCTTTTTTCTATTCTTTCTCTCCAAGGCCTGACCACAGTTGTGATTGTGATTGGCACTGCTACATGGGCTTGGGCCCAGCCCAATATTTTAAAATCATATGTTGATTTTGTACATTGACCAAAATAAGAAATATTAATTGAGGATGATATTTTTACTACTAAAATTTTCTACTACTAACTTACTATCTATTTAATAACCATTGAATCAAAGAGAGAGAATGCTAAAAAGTTTTTGAAAAAAGAGAAAATATTGATCTAATAGTGATTAGATAGGTAGTGAGTTGATAGTAAAAAATTTTGATAGTAAAAATATCTTTCCTTAGGTTAATTTAGTGCATTAATTAAAACAGTGGGACAAAAGAACCCAAAGCCTTTTCAATTTTCTAGGTTTTTTTTTTTCTGTACAATGAAAAGAATTGAACAAATAACTTCATACAAATTATCTAAATATTTTATTACTAGATCAGTCCTACTGACTTATTTACTAGGCTTTTCTTAAAACTAGCTATCTTCTCAATAAAAAATATTTAATTTTTCAGCAGCGTATTAATTTCCTTTTATGGTAAACTATTGATTTTTTTTTGTAAACTATTAAATTTTTTTCCTCCAATCATAGATTCGTGATTGCCAAAACCGGTATTTCAATTAAGAATAATCTTACCCACCAAAACGTGTAATTATGATACTCAAATCCTAATAACATCTCTCCGTACCCATTTTTATTCTCTATAATACTATTAAATTGACTATGTTTTGATAGAGAGCAAATTATGAGGCATAAGGGACTCGAGAATTTGAATATATTGTTAGTCACTAAAATTAGCTCTAACTAATAAGACGTAATTATGTCAAAGGTTTAAGTTCAATTCATGCAGATAGTCCTTACAGGAAAATGATCGATAAATATAACTGTAAGTCCATTTAAGTTAACGTCATGATCTGTGTTCAACTCCATTATAAAGTTGAGTAACCTCTCAACATCCCTAACCAACTCAAATGTGGACTGAACTTGGCCTCTATTTCATTTGATAATGAAACTTCTGATATGGTTATTTTCGGTACATTAGGAGTACATATTTCCTTTCAAAAAATAGAAAAATATAATATATGAGTGAAAATAAAAATAAAATAAAAATAAAATAAAATTATTACTTTTTATTATATTTGATAAAAGATATATCAAATTCTCGGTAGAAATATGTTCTATGTTACAGATTCAATAATTTTTAGATATAAAACCCTTTTGATCTCTTTCACTCTCTTGTCCTAAGTACGTACTTTCTGTTTCTCAGAGTGGTACCACCTTTCACAATCTTGATGTTGTTGCTTGACATATTAGCCCATGTCACCTTTCTGCATTATCCTTTTGGGTTGAGAGCATCATTATCTATATCTGTGTCCATGAGATCCTCGCTTTAATTGGAGAATATATTTAGATGTATCCAATTTTTGATGTATTTTTCATTCATAATATGGTACATGTTTTATTTTTGTTAAATTATTAATAAATAATTTATTTTAAAATTAGATGAAAGAATAATTTAATTAAAAATAAGACACATATCATATTATAAATAAAAGATGCATCGAGTTTTCGAAATATCATATTACTAAAGAAATTTCCCTTTAATTGTTGTGTGTTGTGAATTGCGATCATGGACTAGTGGATCCATTGCCACCGTAATTTGTCTTGTCTGCTTACATTTTCTAAAATTATTTTCTTCCTGATGAATCATTGTTAATTAAATTTAAAAATAAAAATTATTACACAGATACATAACTACATATAACTAAATTTATATTTTCAATACATGTGTATATTGTTGGTGTCACTGCTAGTCTTAAAAGAGTGAAAAGAAATCATTTGTGCAAGAACTCCTTATGATGTCTGCATCTATTTTTAACTGCGTTAACTTCTCCTCTCATTTTTCCAGCTTTTATATTAACTTCAGAGGAGAATTTTTTTTTATTATTCAAGAATCACTATTATCAAAATATTATTTGATAGGCTAAAATATTTTCGAAAATATTAAATTAATTATCCTGATAATATGTTTGATTATTTTTGTCTTAAAAATTAATCTATATTTTCTCATCATTTGTGATTTTTGAAACACCACCCTCTGGATGATATTTTTCAATAGTATTTTTGTTTAAAAAATATACACAAAATGAAATCCCACAAAAATATCATTTTCGAAAAAAATTCTCCAATATACTACCAAATATAAGATCATAAAAAGGAAAAAATAAATCTTATGTTGTAGGAGAATTCTAATCTCATGTCATAGATATATTAAGTGTGGGACCCACCTATTTAAAAAAATAAATAAATAAATAACACATGATGTGTATAAGAAGAATTTATTTTCTCATGCAATATGAGAAAAACAAATCCCTTATAAAAAACACATGTTCACTTTTTCAAACATTAAAAAAATAGTTTAATGTATGGGAAAAATTACCCTTATGCAACATAAGAGTAATTTTATCTCCTATATACTCATCGAAAACCGTAACACTCTTTTTTTTTTTTTCTTTAAATGACGGACCCAACCACATATGTCTCTACAACATGAGAAAAGATAACATAAGATTAAATGAACCCTTAATGTACATACACAAACAAGATTTCCTTCTCTCTTTTTTTTGGATGCTTGGTACGAAACAAATTAAAGTGATCAACAATGCTGGTAACGGTTTCCCAGACGGTCTCTGCAGCTCCGTTTGGGAGCCCCACTTATTCAAATGACATGTGTAGTTGAAAGCAAATTCAATATGATATGCTTAAATGGTCACGTTCTGAGGAATCTATCCCAATATATAGCGATATAGAGAAAAGCCTTTTCCTGATATACATAATTCAACAGGAAAGAAAAAAAGCTAAGATACAATAAATGTGCCAGTGGGTCATGCATTCTTGACTTTGATTTATTTTTCATAGGGCCACACATATAAATACAATTTCTTTCCTTTCGCGTTCTGGCTGGCTAAGGGCGTAAACCAATTAATGCTTCTACCATCTTTCGGTAAGGGAGTAATGAGGGAGTTTGAGTGCACCCTGCATTTCATGTGCAATAGTTATGAACAGTGTCATGTCAGAAAGGATTCAAAAACAAATTTAAAAAAGATATATAAGAGATTAATTATTCTTAATTTTATGATTACGTGATCGCTCTCTGAAGCCAAATGAAATAACAATACAAGAATGTCAAAATAATAATGAGTGGTAAGTTATTAAATTATGATAGAGAAAAAAGAAAAAAAACAATTGTGTATGGTATAACTTAATATATACTGTCATACTGATATGTATCTGTTTTTCTTTAATTTGAAATTCCAAACAGAAACAGTTGATAGTTTATGCTAGAAAAAACTCAAGGGGAAACAAAATGTTGCAGTAAGCGACAGCCATCCAGAAATTTAGGTTACTAGTAACTCCAATTGAATACAATATCATACAGTCTCACATTAGTGGCATGAGCTTTATTTCATCAATAGCACAGTACACAGGGTTTTGAAGTTTACCTGAACAATTAACTCTACACTTTCTTTTCCTCTGACCCATTACATATAAAACTATATGTTTAAACATGTAAGAAGTTGGAAACATGACACAACTTTCTGAACCTATGTAGTTTGAGAGTTTATTTTCTTTTCCTTGCTCTTCTTAATTAATTATTTTACTGAACTGTATCTTTTCTCTCTTTGTATCCCCTCCATCCATCCATCCTAAAAGACCATCTTGCTAAAATCCAACCTCACAAAGCTAAGATATTCATCATTGAGCCAATTGTATTTTTCCTTGAAAGGGTTGTTTACTGTGCTTGGAGGATAACTTTCTATGCAATCTTTCCACACATTAGGATCCGACAAATCCTTCATCACCTCCCAAACACAGTTGTTGCACTTGAAGCCAGCTCCAAGGCTTATCATGAGGATCCTGTCACCTTTCTTGAGCCTCTTCTTAGCCTCCATGTAACCCAAAACATACCAAAGGCCACCAGCAGAAGTGTTACCCCAGCGATGAAGTGCCATTCTGGCAGGTTCAAGATCATATTCATTGAGCTTTAACCCCTTACCAACCCCATCAATAACTGCCCTTCCACCAGGGTGCACACAAAAGTGCTCTATCCCTGACTTCAAATTCAAACCTCCTCCTCCTAACACATTCAATGTGGTCCTTTTCATTTTACTATTGCCAAGAAATACAGTGAAAAACCGTACAACTTCCCTATTTTTCATACTATTGCGTAGAGATGCAGTAAAGAACCGCACCAGTTCCCAAAGTGGCAGAATCTTTGGGGCCATCCCCTGAAGGTTCACTGTCAAGGCCTGACCAGCAGACTTCACAAGACTCTTGGTTAGGCGAAAACCTCCAAAGCCTTGATCATCTTCCACTTGTATGCAGCAATTGTATGCCTCATCATCTGCACCATACTGTGTTCTCTGCATATGCTTCAGTCTCAAGATTGCACGGTGTTTCAGCTCTGGCTTGTTTGTGAAAAGCATGGAACACCCTCCTGAACGGAAGAGACAGTTAGAAAGCAGCATCATTTTGTCTCTTCCACAATACCAATGTGCACCAAGATCTTCTGTGCTCACAACAACTCCAAGGGAGTTCTTGTATGTCTTGAAGAGTTGCTGCACCACATCAATTGCAACCACGCTTGCACTGCAACCCATTCCTGCAAGGTTGAAGGATTTTATGTCCTCCCTCATTTTGTACCTGTTTATGATGCGTGATGTGAGAGAAGGAGCTGGTGAGAACAAGGACACATTGACCACAAGGATGTTTATCTCGGAAGGAGAAATCCCTGTCCTTTTGAAGAGATTGTCAAGTGTGTCAAACATGATCTCATCTATCTCTGCATATGTATCTTTAAGACTTGGACATTCTTCTTTCCCTTCAAGAACATTTCTTGGGCAGTAAGTGTTCTCCCCAATACCAGAGCTAACAATGGTTTTGAGGAGAAATCTGAATTCCTCCAACCCCAGATTCTTGTTTCTCATGACGATTCTAGCACATGAATCTGTGTCGAGTATGGTGTCTTCTGGGGGTTTAAAACACTCATAGGCTAGCATGTAACAGGATTGGCCTCTACGTTGAAGAATCGACTTAAAAAGGCAAAACAAGGAATAAAGTAAGGGAATGAGGCATAAGATCAACAAAAAAAGATCCATGGCTAAGAAGGAAGGAAATGTTTTGTGAATGTTTCGAGTGAAAAATAGCTCTATATATATAGAGTTACACTCATCTTAATTTGTGCATTGTGCAAGTTGTACATCAATCACATTTACAAGTTGCATGAGGTTTTGTGTATGTGTACATATATGCCCTACTGACAGACAATTCCAAACCAGACGATATTGACTTCTGACAAATATTGACAAAAGCTTATTATTCTAAAAATAATAAAATAAAATTTCCATTATTTTTGGCAAATAAATATACTAGCTAGTCATCACGTACAGTTGGTGTGACTCAACTCAGTGACTGATTGATATATATCTGATCCTATCTATTTACTCATAAATCAAATGTCTGAAAAACTTTCAACCTTTTATCGGCTAGTTATGAGTTATGCTGTATAAACAGCATTCTCGTTGGAGTAGGTCAAAATTATTAATTCTTGGTGGACCAACCAACAAAGAACTACAAAGCACTGCGTTTTCTAACTTTAATTTTTACAGACACTTTTAGATTCATAATTCAACTAACATCCGCTATATTGGAGTTGAGAAACTTTAATGACTCTCAAGTTATGGTCTTTCAAACTATAGCTCCATGCATGGAGTACTTCCACTACACTAGACATGCATAGGGTTGGGGGGTTAATGTGTTCAATGTATTCAACTAAAAGTAGTTGTATAATTACTTCTTAATTAGTCTCTTCTACTTTCTTTTTATCTCCCCTAAAACTTTTAGTTATCCAATCCGTGCTGTTGTTTAAATCAAATATATATAAAAATATATGTCTTATATTTAATTTATAATTATTTAATGCATGTTTGACTTCATTTATTTTGTTTAAAAAAAATCAAAATATTTCAAAGATAAATGTACTTCACATAAAGCATATATAATAGAGACTCACATCTAAAATTGATAATTATATGATTTGATTTTGTTTTATCTGCTTATAATAATATTTAATAGTACTAATTATATACTAATTAAAATTTTATTTATTAACAATATTTAAATTTAGTAATAAAAATCTTTACTTTTTTTTTTTTTACCAAAAAAAAAAAATCTTTACTTTTATGTTATCTCAAATTTATAAAAGTTTTGAGACATCTTATGCCAATATTATCAGTATATATATAAACAAAATAAAAATATATCATTAAATTAAATTATAGTATAATTTTTTTTTATTCAAGAAACAACCCACCACATAGGTGAATCTTAGGAAAACCCCCAAAGAACATGGGTTAAGGAAAATGGTATGTTCATGAGGAAGGAACATACTGTATTGCAGGTTTGAAATCGCATACTGATCTCATCATCGCGTTTTTTTACAACTCTGCCAAAAAATTATTTTACGAAAACATGTTTAAATGTTATTATTATCAGACTTGTAAGATTAAAATTAAAAGTAAATTTTATTTTTGTAGATATGTAACATTATAGCATTCTAAAGATATTTTCATAATATATGTCTATATATAATAAAATAGTATTTTTATATTTATTAAAAATAATACTTTTTTAGTAGATTAAAAAATTATTGAAAAATTTAAAAAAATGAAATCTAAGGTAGATATACATGAAAAGAATAAAAAATAACATAATGAAATAAAATTGTTATATAATAAAAAATAAAAGTTTAAAAATTAACACGTGAAAATAGTAGTGAAATTAATTTTATGTTATATATACACAGATAGATAAGGAATGTTATATTTACAACTTATTTTCGTTTATAACCCTTTTCAATCATATCTTAACCATTGATTTTCGTCAATCAACGGTTATCATTTATTGCGTATTAGTAATTAATTAATAAATTTGATTTACAAAAATAATAAACATTGATTGACAAAAATCAACAGTTAAGATATAGTTGTAAGTATAACTTTCCTCTAGATGGATATATAAATCACAGCATTGTTATTAGTTCATTTAAATATAGTTATAATTGAATTGTGACTATGACGTGGCGGGATATTTAAAATGCATCTAAATTAAAAGAAGAGGTGAAAAAAATAATTCAATCAGTATTCAGCCAAATGCCTCTTTTTTAACATTTACTTTCTTTCATCCGTCACTTCCTCCGTCCTTGTAAAAAAAATCCATCTTAAATAAATAGAAAGAAAGGGAAATGTGAACAATGAATTAGAATTATAATATTAGCATTTAATATTGTGTTGAGAGTACATTATTTAAATGAATTTGATTATATTAACAGTAATATCATAGGGAGTGGATCTTCTCATGTGCTAATTAACATGACCATGTCATGTGGGGCAATCATAACCATACATGGGTGGTAATAAGAGAGGAGAGAAAAAAAAATATAAGGATAGGAAGTTACACAATCATCACCGTTGATTTAATTATTAATGGTTAAGATTCTCCCACATGACATGATCATGTTAAATTACACATGAGAGGATCCATTTCCAATATCAGATGTTAAATTCATTAAATAATGTGATAACATATCATTATATTACAAAAAAAAAATTAATTTGACAATGTATAAAAACTAATTCACAATTTTTTTTTATTTAATCATATTTTATGTTTAAAAAAACATACTTTTAATATCACTGGTATGTCTAGCATATAACTAGGTGAAGTTTAATTTTGACGTTCTGTAAAATTATTTATATTATTACTCTATTACACATTGTCACATTATTAAAAAGGTATAATTTTTAAGGTAATTGTTATGATGAGAGTAATTTTTAAAAAATATTCACAATACATAATTAGATAAATATATAAAAACTTTTGTATTGATATATAGTGCATGAAAATTAAAACCGTATATTGACTATCCAGCATAACAATAAAAGAAAGTCTTATTCATATAATATTGAGAAAACAATTATTTTAATTAAGTGTGTATGAGTATAAATTACACGTAAACCAAGTTGATAGAAGAGACCTTGTATAATTTAATCTAACAAGTCGTGCCACTGCCACCCAAAAAGAAATCTAACAAGGAAAAGAAAAATGATGCTTTGCACATTAACTTTTATGGACTATTTTTACGCCAGTTAACGTTATGTCAATTTCTATTTAAGAGTGTATATTATTAGTTAACGGGAATATTAATTAATTATTGACCCCCAATATTAGATAAATAATACACGTTTGTTAACCAAAATTTTATAAAATTATTAATCAGGAGAAATACAATGTACAAAAATAGGTGTAAATTTATCAATATTGCAAATAAATTTTGCCTGGACCAAACATAAGCACCCAATCACATATAACTATATAAGCAGTTTTGAAATTGTGTTAGGCACCAAAAAGTCACTAGGCAAATAATTATACATCATATGCTTTCCTCGTGGATAAAATATTAATCACGAGCGATATGCATACACAAAAGATGAAAACTACCAAGAATATAAAGATCATGGGCATAAAAAACAATAATAATAATAATAATAATAATGTGCAATAAAGGATTCAAATGTATTCATGAACAAAAAGTAAAAGAAAATATAATTGCGCTTTTTTTTTTTTTCACTAGATGTGTATCTAGGTAAAATCTGAGGTAAAATACAAAAAAGAGAGGGGTGGGGCTGCGAAATAAAGTGGTAAAATAAGGGGAGTTCAGTGATACTTTTTTCTCACGAAATCTTTGAATAATTGGAGTTGGAGGGGCGATTTGTTAACTAAACAGGTATTAGGAAGGAGAGTGAGAGCTGTCAAGTACTTTTGTAATGTTATTTTTAGTGATGGCAAGCTGTAAATATGCAATAATTAAATATTGATGCGACAGTTTTCTAACCAGACGAAACATTATGGGGTTTGTTGCTTCAAAAGGCCAGACTACAGTCTTCACCCTTCATTCATTCACCACAATACTGAGTCTGTGTTTGGAATTTCATTGGCACTCTCTTCATTCTGCGCTTTCACAGAAAACGTAGTTTGGATAGAAGCATTAAGCAACAACATGTTGCGGTTAAAAAAGAAAAAAACTAATTGTATGTATATTTACAAAAATATTTTTATAATTCATATTATAATATTACTTTAACAATATTTTCATATTTTTGTTGATAATTGTGCTTCTAATAATAATTTTCATTAACATAAATTCTCACATTATATATACTAGTGTATTATTTGTGTGTTGTACGGAGAGAAAAAAAAGAAATTGATTTGTTTGTTTCGTAAAAGTTAACACAAATCGTAAAAGTATATTGGTGCATTTTAGATTGTCTTGCAGTCATTCAAAAATTACGAAGTTTGACTCGACTTCTTTCAGTATTTTTCAGATTTATAAAATAAAAATAAATAATTGTTTTTTTACAAGGATTTTTATCCTTAGTATTTGAAATTTTACAAATTTGTATTTACAAAAATTGAAATAAGATTTAAAAATTTAATTATAAAAAAAAGATAAAATTTTAATTTAATTATAAAAATATTTTGGCAAACGGGACGGGCAGGCCCTCCAAGCCGAGCCAGTTTGCCACCTCTAACTGTCATATTTTATATCAACATGTAATAAATTTTTATATTTATCCACACAAAAATATTCTCATAGTTGATTCTAGATTACTATCTATCTATGTTTTCTATAGTTACTTCTAAATCGAGTAGTGTGTGTGTGTGTGTGTGAATCGAGTATATCAGGTGTAGGTGTGTGGGTGTGGGTGTGTGTGTGTGGGTGTGTGTGTGTGTGTGTGTGTGTGTGTGTGTGTGTGTGTGTGAGACATATATATATTAGATAAAAAATTGGCAAATATTTGAGTTATTACGTTTAATATTCTATCAAATACTTGTTGAATTGGGTAATACCAAAAGACCATTCGTTAGGTTAATTGCATAAGTATAAATAATTATTCACAAAATTAACATATATATAAGCATATATTTAATGCATCGTATTTAATCTCAATAATACTTAAACTCTACTAATAATAATTTGGTGAAAAATATGAAAAGCCAACTACTTACTGTGTTGGAAACAACTGTTCATAAATAGCATTAAAATAACTATGTATTGCAAAACATTGAATGGTCGT